AAGCTATGACTATGAGCGTGAGCTATTCCAAGTGTGCAGTTGACTTGTTCATTCACTTTTGCAATTACTTCCCTCAACGGAGATACCTGGTCCCTACTTCATTTTCTTAAAAAAAAAAAAAATAATTATTGAATTTTATCAATAGTTTTGTTTTTGCAGCCAGCCATTTATGTTTAATAATATAATTAATAGGCCTTTGTTGGCCCTATATTACGACATGTTGAGGCATGCATTGGGGGCTTGTTTTGTTTTCCTAACATATAGGACTAAAACTCATGAAAGAATTAGCAGGGGCTAGGCTCTTGCGCCTATTCAGTTATTTCATTTGTTTCATTTGTATTTGTCTCAAATCGTGGCCAGAGTGCAAATGTAACCGTAAAACATAATAAGAAGTAAATGAATAGCCTAATATAGTAATAAATAAATAAACTAACAAACACACAAATATATATAAAAAAAAAAAAAAAAAATCCAATAAGATACTAGAGCTATAACAGCCCTGGGCAATTAATTAATTTTTCAGACCATTTCTAGTCTGACAAATGTTATTGTTCTGCAGCTAATTTGAGCCGATCTTTCGGCATTGGTTCCTAATACAATAAATAGGGGCCCGGGGCCTATAATAACACCGCGGTGCAACCTGAGCAGTTTTTAGCCAGTGCATGTAATGCTAATTACATAGTTATAAACATAATCATGATGATATTAATTGTAGGGCCTACACAATTAAATGTAAAGAAAGCACTTTAATGCAAATTTAAAAAAAAAAAACAAGAAGAAGAAGAGGAGTGACAGTGTCCCCACTGGCATGATTAATCTTGACAGTTCCTAAGATAAGATAGTACTTCCACATAAATTTGCGATTTTGGCCAAACATGACATGATCGCTGTTTGTCAGAGCAGCTGCTTTCGGAGCAGGTTGGCAGATCTGAGATCACTGGATGGGCACTTTCTTAACCTATTTTGAAAAGGCATGTTAATTGTTAACCCAAGGAACCTGACCAAAGAGTCCAAAAACGCAGTAGGCTCCGCTTGACAATGTGTAATTAACCCAACCTTGTATGATTGCAGCAAAATGCTAGATTCTTTTTCACACAATTAAGGGGGACCTATTCATTCGAGGTATAGTTTCTCTCCTGTTTAGCTTGACATCCTTTTCTGTCACCTGGGCCAACTTGTGAAGCCATAGGAATTTATACTGACATTCAAAATTATAATGAAATACTATACTACAAACTTTAATAATTAAATAGTAAAAATTTCTACTAATGCTATAACAGCGAGACTTTACCATAGACTTGTGCACAAACCTAAACTATCACCTAATCCAAGTTTACCTTTTATCTTTTCTTCACGAAATTTGGTGATTTTCTCGAGCTAGATAATTTGCAACACAAACATTCCTTGTCCTAAGGGTCGTTCTAACAATAGGGTGACTCCAATTTGTCACCCCCACATGGCATGTTGCCAAAATCCAGATGTGACTTGCCAAATAAATTTAAAAAAAAAAAAAAAAAAAAAGAACCTGTCGCCCATTTGTGGGATGCTGTAGATTATATAATAATAATGATAATAATGATAACTAACACCCTGACAAAACAAATAAACACCCCAACAAACAAACAACCTAACGAACACATAAACAAAAAATAAATGAATACATTTAAAAGATAGATATGTTTGCAAAGGATAGCTGCTGCTTTGAGTATTTTCTGTTGCAGGATGCCAGGGGATAGCACACGCTACAAATTGGTTTGGGACCGGGACTCAAACCATCGAATGCTCTTCAGATTTGCAACATTGAGGTCTTCCAAGGTTGGACATCTTGTCAAGTTCGGTTGGTACTGATCGTCCAGCAATTTGGCCAGTTTGGCGTCCAGATTATAAACTGTTGCCTAAAGGCGAATATCAGGAAAACTGTCAACAGGAAAAAACTGTCAACAGAAAAAGCGGCACACTTTTTTGACCATGACCTATTAAATTCTATGGACTATTTCAATTAAGTTGACGCGATTTAAAAGCATGATGGCATTGAGGAGGATAATACAACATAAAGTGTACGCTAAGTTATATGATCCGTAGACACATACATTTAACCACACGTTGCGCGTTTACGTGCTTGACGCAGATCTTTAGCAGCCCAATTGTACTATTCATATGTAGGCCTACCTGTAAGTGTAATAATATTTCCCATTGTCATGTTAACGTTGATGCACCGTACTTAAGCCTCCTGCTGGTTATGATTTTTCAAAAAAAAGAAAATTGGGCTTCAAAAACAAGAAACAGATAAAGCTGGTTAGAAACATTTCTTGACATGAAATGAATATTGCTAAGTAAATTACAACTTGGAATTTTCTAAATTGCATTCATGCTTTTGATGTCATTGTATTGGGTTGTAGGTTGTACATAGTCCTGGCTATTTTGTACTGTATTTTATATTGAACACGGAATACTTATCTTCAGGTAACAGTTTGAATGACTAGCTATAGCTATACATTGACTGTTTACATTTAATAACGGCTACTTCAACAAGTTCATTGTTTTAAGGGGATTTAAGTAATAATTGTACTTTTGGAAGTTAACATAAACAATTAAAAAGTAAAAAAAAAAAAAAAAAATCTTTATGCCTCCAGATAATTTTGCTCCAAAAACTACAAAGAAAACTTGGTCGCCTATTTGGGGGCCGGAAGGGAATTTTTTCGATCTTTTCCACCAGGATGGGTTTCGTACTGGCTTTTTCACCTTTTTCAGGAGCAATAATAGCTAATTTGTTTAGTTCACGTTAGTGATACTCACAATAGGAGGTTGATATGTTGGGGATATTTCCCCTTACTGATTTATATTAGATCTACCCACGGGAGAATAGTACATTTCGTCCTCTTTTTGTCCACGAATGGTTTTGCCACTTTGTAGGCCAGCTTAGAAGGTAGCCACTAACATTTCCCCCTTTGTATCAATTGAATCTATATCGATCAGGATTGGTTTGAGAAATATATAAAAGCATTTAATCAACATTTGTAATTAGTTTTACCTCTTTTGACAACGTTATCCAATGATCAAGTTGTGGCGTATGATTATAATACCTGACTTTGTAATGTGTATTATTATAATGCATGTTTAATTTTCAAAAATTTCAAAGAGGCAGCTTGTGTGGTTTAGGAAGAGTGCCTAAGATTTGTGGCAAGCATGCCGATGAGGTTACAGCATTTAATGATGTTTGCAACATTAACTCTTTAAAAAAAAATAAATAAAAATGGTAGCAGTTCGCACTCTATCCTCAGTTGGTAATAGTTATACACAACTCCAGTAGGGCCCTGGCGCTAGTATTTGTTTCGTTCAGTCTTTCTCTTTTGGGGTTCTACTCTTCGGGGTAAGGGTGTGAGGGTACTGCCTGTCGTCCCATGGGGCGCGCGTCGCGCGTTTGGCGAAGTTGGCTGGGAGCGACGGGCAGTGCCTCAATTCAAACTAAATAAACAAGTTGGGTGAATAGTTCTTAAGTAAAACCTTTGAATTTGGACGTTAAACATTTAACAAGTTGTGTTTAATCTTTGTAAAAAAGTACGCCAAGCACCCATTTGTACTGATGGGGCATGCCAACCGTATCTACGAGCGGTGGACCAAATCGGTGTGCTTTAACTACAAATAACTTCTTGAGTAATATAGGCATATAAATACTAAAGTCACGTGACAAATACTTAAGTCATGTGACAAAACACTTTGGCTAGCATCCACTTGTTCTGGTGGGGCTAGTGAATGGTTGGCAAGCGTGCCAAGTTTTCGGGCCCAGTGATGCCAAGCATGGCAAGTATTTGGGGCAAGCGTGCCCCGTTTTTAGCTTGTTTAAAATGTTTCTAAGGCAAATATCTTTTAGCAAATAGGTAATTATTGGTATGTTATAGCTTGTTAACGTATTTACGGACATTTAATACAGTTAAACATTGACCGAGGAGAAATAAATTAGCGGCTCAAAAAATCTATGCCAAAAAAGTCAAATCAACTCTCACTGTGTGGTTTTGTGTGTTGTCTGAGAATAATTATTTCTTTAACTGATTTACCTTATCAAAATCATCAAAAATAGTATGTAGAATTCAAATTAGGATTTCATACTTTTATAATATATTTTAGACATGTTCAGGATTACAAATATGCAAAAATGTGAAAATCGATAAAAATCACCCCCACAGCGTTTTTTGGCCCTATCTCAATTTCAACCTCTGCCCAGAAGCGTCTGCTTTTGACAGAACAGGTCACATATCTCCGATAATGTGGATTGGAAGTGACCACAGTAGTGTGATGGATTTTATCTCTTGAGCTCTACACTGTAAACATGGTTTAATATAATTTTCCTCAAGTTAGAGAAACGTTAGTAGAATGGGTCTGCTGATTTTTTAACAGCAACAGTTAATTTCATTTGTTGATTGCATCATTTTTATTTAGCCTAGACCATGCCTTAGTCTTTTGAATTACTTGCCTTGAGTTCCTATTTTTTGTTTTTGTTTGGGATTGGGATAAGGCTTGGGGGACTAACTTTCCTTAGATAGGAGTAATTTTTTTACTATATTTTTCCATGTAATATCTAACCTGGAAAACCTCCAATAGTTAAATTTCTTTTGTTGATTGATTGATTGATTTTTATTATCATTTTTGTTAACGAGGGGGTGGGGACTGACGTTCCTATGATAGTTTACAACATTTTTCCAACAATATTTTTCCAACACTACAGGGTGAGTAAAAAAAAAAAATTCACACACAAAAGAACACTCAACCTTTTTGTGATCCATGGACAGAACCTTAAAACGGTGGTTGTGTTTAAAACTTGAAAAGTACATGAGTGATTTGAATGATTCTTGTACTAAAGGCTTATGAATTGGACTTTCATATCCTAGATTTTGAAACTGCTAAATGCAGAACTTCACTAAAACAATGGTCCCGACATTTGGGTTTCGTTTTTGTTTTACTCACCCTGTATTTTTCCAAAACTATTTTTCCAACAATTTTACCTGGAAAACCTCCAACTGATATTGTACCATTCGTCTCCGCCGTCGCCCCGTCGTCACCGTTATACTCAAAGTTGTCATCGTCGACAAACAGTCTTAGCTCACTGCCCTGCTGCAGGACATGCACCATGTGAAACTGATTATCACACAGTGCAATGTCCTGAGTGGCTCCGTTGAATGTGATGCGACGCGGACCGTTCAGGTTGTTATCAACACGTAGGACAAGCTGGTCAAAGAAAACGGTTGGATGAAACATAGAGAAAGGACAAAAATGTCTTTATCATTGTTCACAGCACTCCAAGTTTATAAATATTCCTGTCTTGCAAGTTTTAAAACTTGTGGTGAGCAATGATTTCTGATGGGAACAGTATGTTTGTGTTCCCAGGCAAGACACTTTATCACAATTGCCTCTTTCCACCGAGGAGTATTAATGGACGCCTTAAAGGTTAGAGACCCGTTGCACTGATCTTAAGATGCTTTAAAATAAATAGTCCTTTTTCGTAATGAACACTGGTAGTAATTGTGTAGTGGACTTTGTGGCTGAACTTGTGAATTGACTTGTGAAGGACTCCACTACTATGAAATTATGTCAAAGAGTAAAACCCACTATTAAAACTAATCATATTACCGCTAATCAGTATCTATCTCAAATCTCAGGTTTATTTACTTCTCTGTTGATGATTTCTAAGGCAAGACCCCCGTCTTTATTATCTTGGATGGATAGAAGCACGGCAAACTGTTGCGCTGTGCGGAACTTGAAGCTTAACACAAAGTCCACGTCCATTGCTACTGGCTCATCTGAAAATAAATGGGATACAAATTTCTGCTGAATCAGAAAAGATCAAGTTATGATTAAGGGACCAGGGACCAGTGGCATTTTTTTTCAATTTATTTTTTGGCCTTGTTAGACATTTTAGGCTCTAGACTTTCAAAATGTATTCTTATTGCTTTAATGCGTAATTTTTCAGGCACATACATATATGTAATGATCACTGTTATGAAGGTTGTGTGAAACACATTTTATAAATATTATTATGAAACATTAGATTTCCAGGTGTTGGAGGGGTCAAACTGACTCGGCAAAAAAAAATCTCCAGGCGACAAAAAAAAGAAAATAATGCAAGTATCCGCTCCGTTCACAAGTACCCCCTCATTGGCAAAGAAAGCACAGTTGGGGGACCGACCAATGCCATCTTGCCTGACAGCAATTTTGCCGCGACGCGCGGCCGTACCACTGCGTGTACGTAGTACAAATCCCCTGGTGTACGTGCGTCACACCCAAGGAACGATGCGCGTCAACTAGCTAAATGTCCTGCCAATGGGACGTCGTTGCTAGGTAAAAGGCCGCCCTCTTTTGTTCGCACACGGAGCCCATAGTCCGAGGTAAGAGAAAGTATTTCCTGATCTTTTCAATACACCACTGACTGTTGCCATAATTTGATGTATATACTCACTCAGTATGGCGTATCCCGTGCCTCTGAAGTATGCTCCCGGTTCAGTACTCATGAAGCAAGGAGTAACTCTGTTACTGATCTGAGGCTGCATTAGATCCATCTCGTCTTGGTTGACGCTAATCTTACGTATACAACCCTCAAAGCTCCGCATTGCCTGATAAAATGGAAAAAAACATGACGTATAAACGTGGCACTCTGATAACAGCTTAACCAGTTCACGCCGGGACTTTTTTGACAAGAATGGAACAAATCCGAGAGCGTGCTGAGGTGAAATTCCAAAGTATCAGTACCCAAGTCTAATTAGAAACACAGTTTTCCATGTTCTAACTCAAACAAGGCCGCGTATCTTTGGATCAAGGCGCAGGATTACTTTTCACTCGACCGCCAGCCAGGCAGGTTGAAGCCATCACCCTCGGGCAGCACATTTCCGGCCTCGCTCGCTGCGAGCGGGTCGCTGACAGATATTTTCCCGCCTCGCTCCCTGCGTGTTTACCATCATCCAACCTCAAGCCAGGCGGGTTAAAGCCATCACCCTCGGGCAGCACATTTCGGCCTCGCTCGCTGCGAGCGGGTCGCTGACGGATATTTCCCGGCCTCGCTCCCATCGTGTTTATCCATCATCCATTCCGAATACTGCAAAATCTTTGCGTGTATACACGTCATCCGGCGCAAACTGGTTAACCCAATTTGTCCATGTACTGCCCCAAACTGCCCCGCCTTTTACCTCCTGTCCCACCCCAGCACTCTCTCGGATTTGTCAGTGAATAAATACAATGTATACTTAACAGACACATATTTAGATTAAGTTATTTCCTTACTATTCCATCGATAGTTCTAGTGTCGGTAGAGGGAGCCCCGCCAACATAAAGAGGTGAGTCAAAGTCCACCATGTTGACCCTTCTGGAGAATTTCTCCTTCTGCGTCTCGTGGGCATCTAGGGTTAGGGAGATGGTCTTACGATTCTTCAAGACTTTGACCTAACAGAATAAAAACACAAGATGAAGGGACAATCAAGAATCTGAAGAAACAATGCTCTTTACAAAATAATATAAAGTATTTAAGCAATGAAGCCTGTTACACTTGTTCACACTTCAAGAAAAAATGTGAAAGGGAGGTGAACATTTATGACGTTTCATCATTACAAATATTCCTGTAGCATTTCCAAATCTATTTGAATTTCACAGGATTCCAAAATGAATCGTTAAATATTAACAATGATTCTGAAAAAAATGTTTTTTTAAACTTTATTCCTAAACCGTTTCCACAGGTTTTCAACTAGATTCTAACATTGATTTAGAATTTTACTGGATTCCAATAGGATTCCAGTTGGATTTCTGCACTGTTCCCATCAGAATTCCCACTGAATTCCAAATGGATTCCCATTGAATTCATACAGAGTGTTTTTTCCAATACAATATGCCACTGTCCATCATCAATCACATGGTCGGACAGCTAGGACATTCAAATTTGATTTCTCTATTATTCCCATAGGATTCCAATTGGATTCCCACTGGATTCCCACTGAATTCCCATTGAATTTCCATAGAAATTGTTTTCTTCTAATACCCGCAACATGCCACTATCCATCATCAATCACATGGTGTGACAGGACATTCAAATTTGATTTCTCTATTATTCCCATAGGATTTCAATTGGATTCCCACTGAATTCCCATTAAATTACCATTGAATTTCCATAGGATTTCTTGTTTCAATACTCACAACATGCCACTGTCCATCATCAATCGCGTGGTGTGACAAGACATTCCTGTTACCATTCTTCAACCCACTACTGAAGGTGAAGAAGACGTATCCCATCTTGAGATGCACAGAGCAGTAGATGTCAGGGTTGGAGTCGGAACCCAGGAAGAAGATCATCCCTTCCTGGGAGGAGGTCCGCAGCTCAACATTCACAGAAAACCTGCAAAGATCAAGCAAATTCAAGCTCTATATTCTGCAGTGATGATGTTTTCAGGTAGAAAAAAACTCTGTAAGTGTTAATGAAGAGACCACCAAAAAAAAACAAGTCGAGTGCACAAAAAGCTCTGGCCTAGTTGCAAGAAGTCTTGCATGGAAGTCTTGCATGAAAGTCTTGCATGAAATTGATCAAAATGATCCCTGTCAGAGCTTAAAAATTTGATATCAAAAAAGCAAATATGGAACACCATACTTTTTGTCAATTTCCGGGGACAAACAGACGGACAGACCAACCACCAAGTGACATTAAGAAATTCCTGCCAGAGCTTAAAACTGAGTCACAAGGACAGGAAATTACTCTGGTTTTAATGGAATTTGAGAAGAGGAAACAATATTTTATAAATAATTTTTTTTAATTTGTCCCCCTGAACAAATGAATGAGAATATAGTGCTTGTCTTTCAGGTAGCTTGAAGCCAAATTCATGCTTCAAGGTTATTTTACTATACAGTGAATGGAGTAACGGAACTGATATGTCACAATAAATGCACAACTATTAACATAATAATTTTCACTTTGGTTTTGCAAAATAAAACCTTCAATCTATTTTAAAAAAGAAGGAACATTTCATAAAGTGTCCATTTCAAACCAGACAAAAATTCCAAAGTATCAGTACCCAAGTCTAATTAGAAACACAGTTTTCCATGTTCCAACTCAAACAAGGCCGCGTATCTTTAATAGAAAATCCGGATGCTTGACATGTCTCCATCTATCTCAAGGTGTAAATACCAGGCATAATTAGTGACAAGTTGTCCTCAAATTCTTCTGCTTCAAGAAGCTCGAAGGAAAGAGTCCTGAATTAATTTCACACCCGTCGGGGGCTCATAAAGAGTTTGGCCTTGTTATGTCTAATTACACCAGGATTGCTTAAGGAGGCAGCATGAGGAAGATGATAGCGGTCTGACCATTCCATCTGAAATCCTTGGACACTGTTGTTGTTTTTTATTCCAGATGTTGATTAAGGAATTCTCTAGACTGCTGAGGACTGATCGAGCTTGTACCCACCGGTAGCTAATCAACTGCTTGAAAAACTTTACACAACTCAATACTGGTGTTCTTCAAATCAAGGCTGGCTTTAAGGGGGAGCCTAAGCCCCGCCCCTCAACCTCCCCCCCCCCCAAAAAAAAATCCTCAAAACTGTTAGAACAGAGGAGAACTGTTAAGGATCAGGAACAAATGTGAACCCTACACGATACCAGTATGTTTACATAATACATGTTATTTTACTCTTAGATGAAAACTCCACTTCTTTTGTCTTAATTATACTCACTCATAACTTCCCAAGTGGACTACAGACAGTACAGCAGCATTTCAATTTCTCATTGTAATATGACCTTATGGAAAATTCTTAAGAATATCTTCAACAATTTGTGATGTCTTAATGTGTCCTCCAGACATAATTCTACTGTGAAATCTCGATAATTCAAAACAACTGACGATGACTAGAGCAGGCTAGTCGAAACATTGAGACCAAAGACAAGTTCGTTTAGAACTTACAGCAGGACTGTTCTTATAAGAACAAAAAACTACTTAGCGAAGTTGATAATAAGCAGGACAAGTTCTTTTCAGAACTTAATGTCTTCTAAGCAGTAGTTATTACCACATGGTGTTACCGCAAACCGAAACGAAAGTCAAAACTTGTTAACTCAAAACCCTCCTCACTCAAAGTAAAAACTTATTTCCGTCAATCCACTGGATAACTCCAAACTCTGCTTAATTCAAAATTTGAGCCAATTCCCCCGAGATTTGACAGATCGAGATTTCACTGTAGCCCATATACACAAACTCAACACCTTGTGGAAATCTAGTTTTAATCCTGTCTTCTGATCTGTTATTTACAGAATTGTATTGAATTTCTGTCCCTGGCGCAATACTTGAACAAGAAGTGTTTAGCACAAAAAAAAGGGATTTGTAGATATGGAGGTTGTCTGTAAACAGAGGAAAAAATAAACCGAGTGAATGAACATTAGGAGTGATCATTGAGAGGATTTAGGGAATCACATTCCATCTTATTCATTGACTTCTGAAGTTAGTCTGAAGAAAAACTACATGTGGGTAGAACCTAGAACAAATCATGATCTGCTTCTGCAAAATGAGTAACACTACTCTGAAGAAATCATTTCCCACTTTTGAGGGGCATATTCTCTGAACTACATTATTTTAAAAAGTGCTCCTCTAACTTCAAAGATATTGTGATTATTCGGCAATTGGCCCGGATAGCCCACAAAAGTCTTTCGACTTGTTTCCAGTGGGGAACAAGTCAAAGATGTGGAAGGAAATTCTACTATAAAAACCCCAAAACATGAAATTTATGAATTAACTTTCAACTTGCAGGAGCAGGTGTAACAGGGTGTAACAGCTGCATCAAGGTGATAGACTGTTAGGGTTCTGTGGTGTTGTGCTATGAGGGCAGGCTAGACACCTGCCAATTAAAGATCTGCCGATATACTGCATAGTGTTATCAGTGATCAGTGGGAGGGGAATCGACCTCCTTCAAGGACAGTGTAAGGACAGGTTTGACCAGTCAAACCCAAGGGCGGATCCAGAACACAATTTGGGGGGGGGGGGGCCAAAAAAATGTTGGTCCCCCCCCCCCCCAATTTTTGGATTCTAGATGCTCTGTGGTGCGATCTGAGGCAATTTCTGACCACTTTAACCAATTTTTTTGAGGAAAAGATGGTGGTGTACTCATTGCCTGCCTTTATTGCGATGTGACATAAAAAAAAAAAAAAAAATTGGTTTCGTTTTTTTTGGGGGGGGGACCATGGCCCCCTTTGCCCCCCCCCCCCCCCCCCCCCCCCCCCCGGATCCGCCCTTGGTCAAACCATGGAGAAATGTTCTTATTCCTCCACGGTCAAACCAAGTCCCTACCTCTCAATCGTCACAAGCTGTTCAAATAAACTGTGAAAAAAAGGACATTCCTTTATAGATACTCATATCTGGATTTGTGAACTGGCTTGTGGTTTGGACTCAACTTCAACACTCAGGTCGATCATTAAAACTATTATTTCACAGATGGATTCCCATTAGATTTAGAAACAGAGTAAGCAGCGGAACTTAAGCAGCGGAATTTATTTATCCCTAATGTTGGACCCAAAAGCTGCCCTATGAATCATGTGAAGTTTGATGTTGGAAGACTTGGAAAACATGACTGGATTTAATTGGAAGTGATCGGAATGGACTATAGAATATGATAAGTTGGAATAACTTGGAATCGAGTTTTAATTGTTAAAAGTTTGATTGATTGAAATGGACTCTATTCAGATTTAATGAATTAAAATGAAAAAAAAAAAATTGGAATGAAGTGAATTGATCAAATTTTCCCTACTATTTTTCCTGCAACATTATACATACATTTTGATACAAAGGTTGTTCCCCCTCTACTGTCATTAACAATCTGAAACCCACCACAGGAACAGAAACTGATGAGCCAGCCCCCCCCCCCCCATCCCCTACAGAGAGAAGTGGTCCAATTATAAACACTCTCCAGTCTCAGTAGAGTTGGGTTTGTCCTCATCATGATAGTGCCAGTGGCCTTAATTGTAAATCTTTTCCCCCCAGGCCACTGTTTCCATCACGTCATCATCTTCAGAAAGGACATTCTCATCTTTATTTGATGAGAGCCCACTCAGAATGGAATAAACTCCCACTTTTTACAAAAAAACCTAAACCTAATCAGTAGTGTTCCTGAAGAGGGAGTGATAGAGGCACTGCCAATCCTTCAAGGCCCGTGTCCTAGTCTTCTCCTCCTCCTTCAGAAGTTGGCGAAGGCAAAAATGAGCTTCTTATTGTAAAAACCCACTGATGCCCCCTCCTGAAAAATGAGAACCTTAATTAAGTGCCCCCTGCTAATTGAACCACAGTTCAATGTTAGTCTTCCTTTATAGGGCTCGCTCAATATTGACGGCCATCTCTGTAGGAGAACTGCAACTGCGTATTTTACGCAATCAAGCACGCATTGCGCAGTGTTGAAAATGTTCCAAACAGGCGCACTTGTTGCTCGAAATGTGTTTGAAATACGACGCAGCCGATGCGCGTTATGCAAGTTGACGCTCAAAATGCCGATGCACGTGGATGATCTGTAGGAAATGACGTCTATGAACGAGAGCTTTTGTCATCTGTTTTTGCTGTTCAAAACAAAAACTACTAGAATTCATTCTTTAATACCAGCCTGGAACCGATTTAAAAGAGATATGCTTTATGGTGCATTTATGAATGTTAACCCAGAGAGGTACGGTTGAAGTAAGGATTCCTATTTTGTTCACTTCATGTGTTGTTCACTTCGTGATCTTACTAATGAACCAACTAACAAACGCCTTCAAGGTTTTCTTCCTGCAGTTTTCAGAAACCGTTTATCGCAAGAGTTCTCTCGTAGACCTCTGACCTATAATGGAACAACCCAAACATTAACCTGTTTGAAAATGGACAAGTCCACAAACAAAAAGACAGTTGTGTACAATCTGAATAGGCCGAGTCACTGTCACTTTTTTAAGATTGTTAATGAAATCACGATCACTCACTCTCTACAAGGGAGTGATGTAATAGACATCATTAACACGGATTGCTGGTTCACGGGACTCGTGCTGTAACACACAAGGATATAAAAATCCCAAGTGGGTTGGCCGAAGTTCAGAACAGACACAGGAGTTGTACACTGTGCAGATCAGACCGTCACTTGCAGATGTGGCTGACGGCTGTCAACTTAGACATACAGACATCAACCGCTCTGCTGGCTCAAGATTTTTCCGCTATTTTTCCCTGATTTTTTTTTCCTGCTGTGACATCCAATGCTTGTCAGTCTAAATCTGCGTTATTTCAGACAGTGCAGAGTTTTTTTTTTACTTGTATACAACTGTTATCAGTGTAATAAGCTGACCAGATTGAAACTGTTTCATTACGAGAAATCCTTGGTGTGACACGTGAATGACACCCAACCGGGCTAATTACAGACAGCGGCTAAATTGAGCACGAGGGACCACTGATTATGTTTAACGAGGTCAACCCTAAGTCTGTTGGCTTGTTGGACTTGAGAACCACACTTGACAGTGGACATTGAATAGTGCCCGCAGAGATCTTCAAGTAAAATCTATTACAGAGCAGCATCGTGATTTTCCATTTCATCAATTGGGCAGTGGCTGTACTTTTAATGTGCCAATCAACGGCTCAAGAAAGGTAAGAATGCAATTATGTTTTCTCTTTAAAGTCATCTTCATGCTGCCGTGCAAGTTCTATTTGTCTGTGGTGTATGTGGGACGTGATGACTCGTTTGACCACAGTTGCCACAGCATTGGGTTATGCACATTTAAAGAAATTGTTATTAATTAATTTCAGGGTTAATATTTAATCTGGATACATTTTCGAAATAAATTTGTGCAACACAGACACAGGTAAACCACTTTATTATAACTGAAATAATAATTCAAATCAAGTGTCAACAGTGTCAAATATTTTACTATGTCTTTAAATCAATTGCTCCATATAGTAAATACTGCCATATTTTACCGATTTATGCTTTTAATCAATATAAATCTTTTCATAACTTCACTTTGAGCGGAACTTATTTTAACGTTTGACAGATACAAAAAATAATCTGAGTTCTAGACTTTTATTGGATAGTGCAGCTTTCTTTACGAACTCTTTTGTGTTAATAATCTACAAGGTACAAGTAATTTTACAAGGTACAATCCCTTCAATTTGATACCAATTTTAGTAGCAATTTAAAATGCTGTTTCAAATTAATACAGGGCGAGTCAAAAAAAGCGGAACCCAAACCCCCAAAATATATTTCACATTTAAAAAAATATGTAGCACCAAAAATAATAATGACTGGAAAGCAAATTTCATAAACTACTTTCAGATGAAAAAGTCACTGAAATTGCTCACCCTGTATCAATTTAATCAGATACACACAAAGCAAACACTCTGTACTGCTCAGGAATATGTAGAATGGTTCGAGATAGCAAACACAGCTCAATGATAATCACAGTATACATGAATTCAATCACAGCTGAGTACAGTCTTATGTAACAGAGAAAACCCTAGAGATCAGAGTACTCCATCGGCTGATTGTTTTTCCCGTGAAAGCTTGCTCAGATTATATTTTTATGCTGGTTATTTTGCGACAAAGTGTCCTGTACTTTGCAGGGTTTTATTTTTTGCAAGGCTTTGCATTATTCTGCTCTTTGAATTGGGTTTTTGTTTGTGATAAAGTAAGATGGATGTAGCAAAAGGGTACTGGGTTGAGTTTTCCCAGGCACTTAACTGATTATGTTTATTTTTCTGCTTGTTGTTTTGTAAAATATTGTCCTGTATCTGAAAGGGTTTGTGTCCATTTTTTTTTTTTGCTCAACGGCAATTTTAATTATGATGTGAAAAAGAAGTAGCGGAGACCTTTTTATAATTTTCCAAGGCTCGTAATTAATTGCGCATTGCTTACATTTTGTTTTTACGCTCGTTATTTTAATTTGCAAATACCTGTCCTGTACTCGACTGGGAAACTTGTATTTATTCGCACGGCTCTGTATCCAAGATTTTGCTGATGCAATCAGTTTTTGTTTGATAATTGTTTGACTGTTAAGAATTGAAATGAAATGTCCAAGGCACTTAACTAATTATGCTTGCCTCGATTTTATATTTAGTCTTGTTATTTTGCAACAGAGTATTCGGAGCTTGACAGGGTTTACTTTTTATTTACCTGTCTCTAGTACCTGTTATTTTGCTCGTGCAAATTTTTTTTTTTTTTGCAATGATGTAAGAGGGAAATAAAGGATTGATTTGAATTTTCCAAGGCTGTTTACGGATTATGCATTGTTTCTGAGACACTGCAATTCTAATGGTCAGTCCTGTGTGATAACCATGAGATGTCCATTAATGATGTGCACGGTGCTTGAATGCTCTATGAACCATGTCACAGAGATGACTGCAAAGCACTGGTTTACATGTTAAGGTGACAGGATATTTTCTTCACTTTCAGAGGGTATTATTGACTCATTGAGGGTCATATTTAAAAAACAATCATTCTTGTAAGAAAGAATGATCTTCCTTGTGTTGAAACCGCCAACAAAGGGCTGCATAGCTCAGTTGGTAGAGCACCCGAACGGTATTCCTGAGGTTGCAGGTTCAAACACGGTTCCAGTCAATTTCTAGGCTTTGTTCAACTTTAAAACATTATTTTCAAAGGGTGAAATTTCTCTCTGTTACCTAATGAAAGTGGAGACCAAACAGTGGTCAAATCCCCTTTCAGATTGACAGAGTTATAGGGAAAAAAACATTACTGGAGCGAAAATCAATCTATTTGATTGAATAAAAATTCAACTCTGAACACCTTGTCTCTAGTTTAAGCTGGGTAAAATGGATACACACTCTTGGAAATAAGAGAGCTCTTAAATAGTTTTTAGAAAACTTGCAAGTGCCCTCAGGTACCAACATGATCAGGCTTTGCTCAGGTATTGCTCAGGTATTTGCAGAGAACACGTGGTCTTTCTGCAGGTAGCTATATAAACTCAAGATTTTCTACTCGCAATAAAAGTGCAAAGAAGGGAAGAAACTCAAGAAAGGGAGCATGGATTATTTCACTTGAGTTGCTGCAGGCTGTGGTGTTACACACTTCATTAGGTCAATTCCTGCAAGGCTGATGATTTGTCTGTATCCAAGGTTTAGGACAAACCACCCACAGATGTGAGGGTAAACATTAGATTTTGATCACAGGTATGCAGAAAGCATTGTAGGCCTACTGCTCTGTTGTGTGCTTCGAAGAATACACCTTGCTGTATGCCATAAATAAACTTGCAGTTATCCACCCCATGCATAGGAACAATGATTGTTCATTAAGTGGTTGACTTCTTGTTTTCATCGACAGGAAATGAGTTCTGTGGCTGAGTGGTCGTAACACAACATCAACACCTCGGATAAATGCTGATTGAGGCCCGGCTCACTCATCGATGACTTTTGAAGTACGTCACATATTTGTCAGCCAAGAGACACACTCTTAAGTGCGTGGGTTTTTCTTACCAGTCGAACTGCTCAACTGAAGACACAATAAATACCAGTCAACTTTTGCAGGTAAAGAGTTCTTTGATATTGTATAGCTTTAGATAAAAGGGACCTGGTGCAATGTGACTTCAAAGACGAGCCGGCTGTTGCGTCCCTTGAACTGTGGTTTACAAAGGAAATTTTGACTACTTGGATGGAAGATGAAACGTTATTCATTTGACATTTTACAAAAAAGAAATGAAGACCGAGCTTTTCATTTCTGCAAAGATTTAAACTGCCAACAGCAAACTACCTCCCCAAATACAGATACCTTCTTTTGAAAAGACTTCAACTGAACTACATTGCCATTGTTAATTTTTCTAACAAGGCAACAAAGGGACAATTAACTATGACACGTTCATCGCATTAAACAAGGTCAATTCAATAACAGGCCGTTGCATGATAACACTGAAAAATAAGTCTGTGATTGCCGTTTGTGATTGCTGTACATCAAGAGCAACAATGGATGGAAGCACAACAGCAATACTGTATTCTACTGACTTGAACATTTCCAGCAACTTATCAGGTACGACGGATCTAACTGTACATTTCACTCCCAGAGAGTGGCTACTGCTCGTAGGACTGAGTCTGATGATTCTTTGCGTCATCTTTGGTAACATTCTGATCCTCGTTGCTGTGTTTAAGCATCGGCCCCTTCAGACTCCTCCCGTGTACCTCATTGCTTCGTTGGCCGCGTCAGATCTTATGGTGGGTCTGATGGTCATGCCCATCAGCCTGACGCAAGAACTGACCGTGGAGTGGAAGTTTGGCGTTGCCGTTTGCGACATCTGGATCTCTCTGGATGTCCTATGCTGCACGGCTAGCATCTTGAATCTCTGCGTCATTGCATTAGATCGCTACTGGGCTATTACCAAGCCACTCAAGTACAAACCCAAGCGTACACCGTCAAGGATGCTGATCATGATCGTTGCGGTGTGGGTTATCTCAATCATGATCTCAACAACACCGCTTTTCGGCTGGCGCACGGAGATCCGAGACCCACTGACATGCATGATCTCTCAGAATCAGGTCTACACGATCTTCTCCACGTTTGGGGCCTTCTTCATTCCAATGACGATTATGATGGTGGTTTATGCGCGCATCTTTGTCGAAGCACGAAAGCGCATCCATGGTAAGAAAAACCTGGTCCAGACACCGTTAGGCTCCTCCTGCGGATCGCCGGGAAGAAGATCAACGGCTGATTTCCCCAGAAAGATCTCAAGTTTCTTGAGAAGAATTTCCACCAGTGAACCAATGATTGATGAGATGAGCAGTACAAGCAACGTGTCTAAGAAGCCTGTGACATACAACAGTCGAAGACGCAAGTCCAGCCCCGGTCTGCCGATAGCTGATGCATCTATCCTCCAATCCCCAACCCATGTAAGGTCCCCTCAACGTTCTTCCATCCACAACAGTTATACCTCACTGGCTGTCAAGCAATCCCAGGATCAAGGCAGCCAGTTAACGCTCACCGTGCCCTGCTCACCGTTCATACAACAGCGTATCATGCAGCGACGCAATCTAGCCTCAGCCCGGGAGCAGAAAGCCGTCAAGACCTTAGCCATAGTCACTGGGACTTTCTTGGTCTGCTGGCTGCCATTTTTCATCAATGCATTGGTCATACCTTTCTGTCCGCAATGCCACCTTCCTGCCTTTTGGAACAGCCTGTTCCTGTGGCTTGGATACTTCAATTCCATGATCAATCCCATCCTGTACACCAAATTCAACAAGGACTTTAAGGATGCCTTTAGTAAGCTGCTCCACTGTCCAAAAAGGCACAACTCCACACACAGGCGTGTGCCAATGTCGCCTTACCGTGGGGTTAACGGCAGCAGGAGATTATCTCACTCACATCTCCCTGACACGAATGGGCTTAGAGAAAGTCAACTGTAAACATTGATGAGTTAACAATCTAGGTTTAGTGCTCTGTAAAATGTAAATGATTAAGAACAAATAGTGAAAACTTGCAATGAAACTCTCAGGAAATTAATTTTTTTGGAAAACGAAGTTGTGCTTGCCAGACGGTTACAAATGAAAAAGTTTGGATGATTTTTTTCAATTTTAAACTGGCAAGATTTGCCAGGGTTGTAATTCTTGCTGTGTTTGTTGGTCAGTTTGTGTAGTCTGTTTGTTTTATTGTTTTTGCTTTAATATGAACTAAACGAGGAAGTGAGAAACACTTATAACAGGACCGAAGAAATAATTGTTTTAATTTGCGAGGTGTACCAGGTTGATGACTACCTGTTCAGTGATGTAAGACTTTGAAAGAAGAAAACTAGAAACTTGAGGCAAAAAATACAAGTCAGATAAAAGGGGCCAATAAAAAGGACCACACACTTCCTTGTTCACAAAGTTGATATAACTCCATAAACCCTGATATAGGCCTACTAATGTGTATCTTTCCAAGCAAACCAATGGTTCCTTTTTTCTTTTTGTGTGAATGCAGTGAGATTGAAAATGAGTCAGATGACAATATGAACTGCAAACACTGTATATTATGGAAGCGAAAACTACTGATACGTGTACATCATTTTTTTCCCCAATGTTTGTACTTATTTCTGTGGAATAACTCACACTGATTAATACTTTTACAGCAGGGTTCAACTTTAGCGGTAGCCCGCTAGCCAAATGCTAGTCAAAATAGCGGCAGGATAGTCAAAGTATTCCTTTTTAAAAGTAGCCTGGCTGGCGAGTCAAAAATTATTTTGCTACAGCAAAGATGAAAGTACAGAAAGAAATAAATCATCCGCTTATTAAAAACACTGACAAGATTGCCTCAGGATACACGTTTAACATGTATGCTCATTGTTGTTTATCAGACACTCTATAATTTAATGCGTAAATAAAGCAGTTTGTGAAATTTTAAATCTGTTCTTAAAAACTATGACTGTAAAAAAATGTACTATGTACAGTTATGACTATCAAGGGTTATCAACATTGCAAAAACTAGTAATCAAATTGCAAAACTGGTTTTTAATGTAAAGGTGAATGCTCTCAAATAAACCAAAAATATTTTTCTCCCCAATTTAATTTTTTGCGTTATTTCACTCCATAAGTTGTATTATCATTGATGTAATTTCTTAGATCCCTACTTTATTTGTAATTTCAAATTATTTTGATATTATTTTTCTGTCCTTTTTATTATAGAAACAGTTTATATCCCACAAGCCCTCACACACAAAATTATTTGAAATTGTTCCGGTCCCCCCCCCCCCATCTCACCTTTGTTAAAATGCTTCCCTGCTACACTACAACTGCTTGTTATTAAGCTCTAAGTTTTCATTTAAAGGTTGGACACTTAATTAAGAGGAGTCATTAACTGTGACGGATCAATATGTGCTCCGCCTTTTAACCCTCTTCGTTTTGATCGACAGGAAATGAAGTCTGATCCTTATCCGTGTTTCCGACTCTGTGCGGTCATTAAGCTAAGCCCATGACAGGACACAATATAAGAGGTTTATTCATTAGAGACCCAAACAAGTAAACAACTTATTTATGGTAAGGTTTATGTAAACATACAATTACAGGTGATTTCTTTTGGTACTGTAATTAAATTTTTGAGTTACGGAAACGTCAAATCAGTCAGGTCATTAAACCCTGGGCCTATGGCAGAACACAATCCATGGGTACATTCATTAGCGACACAAACGGGTAAACAATTTATTTACGGAGAGTTTTTGTAAACATGAAATTAGAGATGTAGGCCTATCCTTAGGACTGGAATTGAATTTTATAGTTGCCCTCTCGAGTCTCACCCCCCGAAAACTTTTTTTTTTAAAGCAATACCAAAGTTATTCACTTGTGAATGAGATGTCAAACAAAAGTATGCCCACATTCAGTTATGAAGTAATTAACCCTAAAAGGCGCCCCCCCCCAACTTTTTCCGCGATAACCTTGAAAAAAAATTTTTTTTGCGACCCGAGCTCTTATGACTTTTTAGCCTTGAGCCTTGTGCATCTTTTGATACCAAAAACATAAAAAATTTCCGCCCCTAAGCGCCATAAAAACTTAATTTTCCTGTATACGTCGTGTACACAGAGCAGAATTGCCACTCGTACATATGAATAATAATTAGCCATAATTCCAAAACCCTTTGACCTATGGTCATGAAATTTTTTTGGTATGTTTATGAAGAGTTGCCTTATGCATGTACCGAGTTTCAAAATTTTTCGGCACTCGATGGCCGAGATCTTAGGGGAGGGGGGCGGAAACCAATTTTAAACATTTGGGGCCAAACAATTTTCCTAATTGGGCACGCAAAAGCAACCCAAATGAAAGCACATTTCCAAATGGTTGAAAACATCAAAAGGAAAAGAAAAGAAGTAGTTTTTCTGTATAACTAAAACATGCAAATAGGGCTCGCTCAATGACGGCCATCTCTGTAGGAGAACTGCAACTGTGTATTTTACGCAATCAAGCATGCATTGCGCAGTGTTGAAAATGTTCCAAACACGTGCGCTTGTTGCTCGAAATGTGTTGGAAATACAACGCAGCCGATGCGAGTTATGTAAGTTGACGCTCAAAATGCTGATGCACGGGGATGGTCTGTAGGAAATGATGTCATTTGAATGAAACCTTTGGAAACTCGTTAGGAAAAAAAAAAAATTGAATAAGTTGAAGAGCATGGGCAGAGACAAACAGGCATGGGCGTCGCCAGGATTTTTTCCGGGGGGGGGGGGGCAAAGCTAATTTTCCCCCAAAATTCCTTAACTTTTTCATTATATTCACAATTTATCATTTTTTCGAGCGTGAGCAGGGGAGCATTTGCCCTGCTAACCTTCCCCCCCCCCCCCATCAAATTAACAGCAATATGGCTTCGCACCTCTTTTTCCTTTTTTTTTTTCAGGGGGGGAGGGGCAAGCGCCCCCCTTGCCCCCCCCCCCCTCGCGACGCCCATGCAAACGAGTTTTGTAACACTACAAGTTGGAAACCAATAATGAAAGCAGCTGCTTGCAAAAGCCATCATGTTGTCCAGCAATCTGGTTTCAAAAAGATTTAATCTGTTTTCTCATTCGATCCCATCAGTTTCCGAGGCCATCTTATTTACTCTGTGGTGTAAACTTAGCGAGTAGACGTACATGTTCAGGATGTGGGCAAGTTTCAATCAGTGGGGTTATGTATACATTAGTCCGTTAAATTGAAGACAGACTTTTGCTGTTTCCTTGAAGAGCGTGGTACACTACGGCTCGGCATTCATGAACGGGGAATGTTAATTAATGCGACATGGTTCTGAGGCTTGATTTAAATAACTGAAGTTGTTTTGCATGGGTAATTGAATTAAATATCATCCTGTCGTATTTATTTTATTTCTTTCTGGTAATGGAACCAAGGATTCCTCAAAAGTGCCCTATAGGCACTGTAGCTCGCAAGCCTGAAGAAACATGTAGAGAGAAGACAATGAGAAGAACTTCAGTATTAGAGGTGGGAGGAAAAGCCCAGAGGAATATTCTGGGGGAAACCCACGGAATCAGGCAGGGACTGAAAACCCAATCCACATATTGGCCCGGGCGGGATTCGAACCCGGGTCACAGCGGTGGAAGGCGAGGAAAGTACCGCTACGCCAACCTGATGCCCCGTAGATCTTGTCAGCATGACCTGTTTTTGTTTGTAGTCCATCGAACGACACAGCAGAAAAAAATTAATTAATGTGTTGCAAACTTCACCAATTCAGTCATTTTAGTATAGCAAAAACAACACAGTGAACATACAACTTCCACTTTGGTTAGGCAAGTATTAAATAAATGCGATATTTCTACTGTACCGAGAAAATGACGTCTTCACCCTTTCAATACAAAGTATGGCACACTGTGATACATTGACGCATCAATGAACCGTTTCTCTCCTAACTCTGTACTCAGATATGTTTTGATACTTAAATACGTTATAGGGATGGGAAACTCCTGCTAGTCATGTTAGCCTTGAGTTTTCAAATCAAATCTTCGTGATGCAAGAGAGGAGAATTGCTCCACGTCTTTCACACTGATCAAGGCAACAACAGCCACCTGAGGTTCCCCTTGGTTGTTTGTCTTTGGCCCGATAATGACATCATCACTGACAGACTGTGACAGAAGGTCGTGACTGAAGTGTCATTTTTCATAACAACCAGTCACACTTCTGCTTCTGTTTCTGAAAGGTACTGGTGTATTAGCAGCAAGGGCGGATCCGGGGGGGGGGGGGGGGGGGCCAAAAGGGGCCATGACCCCCCCAAAACGAAACCTTTTTTAAAATTTTTTTTATGTGACATCGCAATAAAGGCAGGCAAAATGATGAGTACACCACCATCTTTTCCTCAAAAAAAAATTGGCCAAAGTGGTCAGAAATTGCCTCAGATCGCACCACACAGCATCTAGAATCCAAAATGTTTTCGGGGCCCTTAAGCGGGCCCCGAACCCCACGCCGTAATTTTTTTCACCCACTTTTTGGGGGGAACAAAATATTTTTTGGCCCCCCCCAAAAAACTGTGTTCTGGATCTGCCCTTGATTAGCAGGGATAGAGCATTTTCGAGCATTTTCGTCTTCGGCTTATACAGAGATTTTAGGCCCCCAATATCTGGAACTCCAGCTACCTTTTGGTGTCGATTATGCTTCAGGAACATTCAATCGGTTTATATGAAGCCGAAAGTTGGAATCTTTTTGTTTAGTTTGCCTCTCAGTGATTCAGAAGTCGGAGGCAAAGCCGAAGCCGAAGCCAAGGTTTCGAAAACCCCCATACTAAAAGTAAAAGTGAAGTCTGTCACAGGCCAATATGGCCAATCAGGCCAGTGTTTATCTCCGATTTCCCTGGCATGAAACAACTATTCTAACTGGATGGCATGCCAGTCCATTGCACTCCTCAGCTAATGATGACACCCATTTATACCTCCGGGTGGAGGGAGGCAAGCGAGAGTAAAGTCGCTTGCCCATGGACACAACATATGGCCAGTAGCTGGATTCGAACTCCTGACCTCTGATCACGAGTCACTAAACACTAGGCCACACGTTCTTTGGACCTTTCATTCATCTGTATTTTGTTATTTAGCAAGTTTTTAGGGGGGGGGGGGCAGGATAAGGGTGTGTTTGTGTTCTTGAGGTGGGGCCATTCCATTTGAAATCAAATCTCTTATGAAGGGCTACATTTGTGCCTCAAATCCTGTTACTGCCCCAAAATTCATTATGTTAATAAAAAAAAAGATGCTTAAATTTTTTTAAGATTGCCCATACCAATTCCGGGGGCATGTTAATATATGAGTCTGGTAATCATGGAATAAATTTTGATGATTCTGTCCAACGTAGAACAAAAGTTAACAGCAGACTTACACTTTGCCGAACTGCAGTGGGTCGATGGCTATCTGAATGTGGCTATCCATCGACAAACCGAATCGCACGGCGTTGGCGATTGCAGATGGTTCCCTGGCCAAGGCACAGCCCATGGGTGAAAACGTGGTACTCGTACTCGGTTCTGTTATGTTTTCAACATCACCTGTTGAAAAAGTTTACCTCAAAATTCAGCAGGTATTCAGGATGACTGATGATCGTATTTTTTTTTTATTAGTATATCTCCCCGACGTAAAAAATACTATCATCAGTCATTCTTTGTGGTACCGACTGCTATACAGATTCAAACCGGCCAGCCGACCCCAGCAAACTCGGTGGTTGATAACCAAATGTATGTGTACACGTATCTGACATATGCGAAACCTCTCTAATATTATGGGCTCCGTGCACAAGTACCCATCAACGGCCAGAAAAGGAGAGTTGGGGGAGACCTAGACTGGTTCCCGATCCATCCAATGCGTATTTGGAATATATCCAAAGTTATTGGAGGCGGGGATTAGTCTGGGAGACCAAGTTAAATTCGAATGTATTCGCGCACCTACGACGCCTGACGCTCACGCGAAGATGCAGTGGCTATAACTTTTGCATATTCAGGAAGTCGTGCGTACTTCGCGCGCAAACCAGTACAGTACAGTACGCGCACGCTAAGAGTCCCGTCCAGGGAGCTCTCAAAAGAGGTAAAAACACGCCCTCTTTTGTTGGCGCACGGAGCCCATAGGATGAGCATGCATTGAAGAAACAGACTGACAGACAATCTGAGTATCAGTTCGGGGTGTCAGTGACAATAAGCCATTTGCGAGTAACCTATACCCTTTGGGATTTACATTTGAAAAACGTCTGGTACAATGACTTGCTCAGAATGCTTGGCACATTTTAACTGTGAATTCTCCAGACCAAAGACACTGTTGCTAATCACATGATTCGGGGCAAGCTCTTGCATAGTTACGTAAGAGACGTTCAGCACCAATACATCGTTCACAATGGGTGAGAATGGCACAAAGACACCAGACCATGCCGGAGCTGGGGGTTGCTAGCATAAGGCTTGCCCCGAATCACGTGATATAGTAACAGTCTCTTTGGTCGGGAGAATGCTAGGTTAAAACGTGCAAAGCATTGTATTAAGTCAGCGTTCCAGATTTTATTCAAATTTAACACGCAAATGGCTTATTATAGGCTCAGCAATTTTGCCAGAGAACAGACAGATAAACAGACAATCTGGAATGGGGACTAACCTGGCGTAGCGGGAGAGTCATGCAAGACAGGAGGATCAGTGGATTCTAGACAAAAGGATCAGGGAAGAGGAAATTCATAGGGCAAGCAAAGGGTGTCAAATAGGTACAGGACGGGATTGGAATGGACAAAAAGCTAGTGTGCACTGTTTGTGACTACGGAAAGACAATCAGTGAAATAACTTGTAAACTGAAAAGATCTTTGTAAGGTGCGAGCGCAGTTTTGGGGACATTGGGATCAAAGGCATTGAAGCAGTGCATTTTTTTTATTTGAAGTGCATTTATAACATGTTTTATTAAGGGAATAAATGTGTGCTCCGGAGGTTTTTATCACTCTGTTTAATACCACTTAGAGTCTGGGTGCTGATAATTACCCGAGCCTACTTAGAGTCTGGGTGCTGATAATTACCCTCGCCTCCGGCTCGGGTAATTATCAGCACCCAGACTCTAAGGAGGCGAGGGTAATTATCAGCACCCAGACTCTAAGTGGTATTAAACAGAGTGATAAATACCGACGGAGTACATATTTATTCCCATTCATAAATACCTTTTCGGTAAAAAAAAATCATATAATTCGTGCAAAACATCCCGATTTTCAACAAATTCACTTTATGCTTTTTGAATCATCCCTCCTGCAAAATAATGGAGTGTTCAGCTGGCGAGTAAGATGAAAACAACCCTTTTATGGAGATTGACGCGCGCGTATGATGTTCTATGCGATGTCGCGCAGAACGCACCTGGCGCGTTGCGTTTTGAATTTAGAACTATAAAATTCTAACTCCCTGGTAGTGTTGCGCATGCCTACGTGAGGATTGTGAACGTTCAACCAATTAAACGATAAGAGGCACTGGATTTTTAGGAGTCCACATTTTATTGTGACACTGGAAAAGTGTTTAAGACCAGCTAGCCATGTCTTTATCATCCGTTTAATACCGGCCACGTGACGGGCTCTCGACCAATAGGAATGGCTTTACTTATCAATTTTGTAGAAAAAGTGCAAATCTATGACTGAAATTAAGGTGATACACTTTATCACGGTAAAAACAGGGTCCCAGTATCAAATCAGCTTTTCTTCAGCAAAATCTCTCAGATTTAGTGTCTTTGTTGGTTTCTTTGCATCATCAACCTAAATGTATCACTCTATTGTAAATTTTAAGGCACAGTAAAGAAAAATAATGAAATTTACGACAAACAATAAGAAGATGTAAACAGTAATTTACCTTTAGTGATATCTGATGGTGGGATTGGGGTGACAATGCTACACTTCCCAATGGTTGCGTTGCTGAAAGAGCTGGCCGACTCAAATCCAACAAGGCTGCAAGCAAAATGTTGCCCCAAAAAAAAGAGAGAAAAGTCCAGACATATCTTAAGTATCTACTTTGTGTTCTGCAATAATTGTCGCTTTTTGGAACACTAATGGATTGAAGGAGGCAGGAGGTGGGCATAAACCTGGGTCGTGCCACTCCCCCCCCCCCCCCCAAAAAAAAAACTGAATATGAAACCTTTTTTTTGTTAATTACCAAATTAGAACAGTCATCACCCCTGTAACAAATCATGGGTGCACAGGGGCAGATCCAGGAATTTTTGCAGGGGGATGCAGTAATTTTTTGCAGGTCATGGGGGGTTTCAGGCCCATCAGATTTTGTATGTCTGATTGTTGCGGACAGGCAGACATTATTACTATAATTGTTATAATTTTGTGTGTGTCAGAGCGGGGGGGGGGGGGGGGGGGGAGGGGGGGGGGGGGCTGTTGTTGTTCCAACCCCTAAACCCCCGCTCTGGATCTGAGCCTGGTGCGCCTCTGCATTCTTGCCTCCAACCCACCAAAAATTTGGCTTTGATCCACCAGCGTCTTCAAGTGGAATGACTTACTCAAATCCTGACTTCTCCCTAACTACTTTTTCTCCATATATTCCAAACACAAGCCTGACACGGGCTTGTAGAGTAAGAATTTTTTTCCACAGACAAGAAACTGGATGGAATTTCTAAGAGCAAAAGAACTAGAAGTCACCTTCCCATGATGACCAGGTCCTTGACACATCCTACCAGTGGCCTCATCTCCTGCAAGCCAGGGCCTAGCCTGACTGAGGCAGGTACGCTGCCGATGTACAAGGGGGACGTGACTGGGATCAAACTCTCACTTCCTGGGAGTCTGCCGCTACGAGCGATTACGTCATCGACGATCAATCGAATGCTGAGGATATTAAAAAATAAATATAAATTCATATAAATTGATGTGAATATTTTTCTGAAACAAGTACAATGTATAAATACCTGTATACAAGGACTTTTTTTAGATGAACAAAAAACAAATTAAAAAGGTTGGAGAATTTCGGGAAAGCTTGGAATATTCTTTCTTCATGTTTACCCCTATTAGGATTTACGTCACACATATGTAAATTTACTATATCTTAATCCTTACTAAGCCCTTTTTAATGACTTCAAAAATTTTTGCTAATGTTTCATTATCACTTTAATTATCAGTGACAAATTACTTGGTAAATGTCTTATATCATATATATATACACAAGTACATATATCTTATGTGAGATGCATAAAGAACTAAGCCTTTTTTTAGTATCTAAAATCTTTGTGCATAAAAGAGACAACATTGCTCATTCAAAACGAGGGTTTACTGCAATGTAAAGGGTCTACCTGAAATCCTCTTTTTGAAGTAGCACAACATGCGGCCTGCCATCATTGAATACACCTGCAGATGAGCGGGTCGTTAGTGTTAAGAGTCCCTGTCCTGCATTGATATGAACCCTGATCCGACCTGCAACCAGCGCAACAGCGTAAGATACCTGCACATCAGGAAACAGAAAAGGGAACAGAAATCCGTCAAATTGATTTCCTTCTATTCATTTCGAGCTTATCAAGTTAGGTTTCACTCTTTTGTCTTGTTATCTTGCAATGTGCCAGTTGTAAAGTACAGTCTGTCACGAGCCAATACAGCTCATCAGGCTGGGGTTTATGTCAGGTTTCCTAGGCATAAACGACCGAAGATATTTCTATCCCCCTGGTTGGGATGCCAGTCCATTGCAGGTTACTCCCCAGCTAACGCCGCTACCCATCTATTCTCCTGGGTGGAGAGAGGCAAGTGGGGGTGAAGTGGCTTGCCCAAGGACACACATATGGCCAGCAGCTGGATTCAAACCCCTAATCCTCTGGTCAGGAATCACAAACCCTAACCACGAAGCCACACTCCCCCTAATGTGCCAGTTGACTAGAATACCTTTGAAATAATAGAATTTGTAATGCAAGCTGTCTCGTAAAAAATTATGCTGTTTTACCAAAATAATGAAAAAAAGTTGCAAAAAACAATAAAATGTCTTATGCCATGTTTGGAGTGGTTTTCATCAACTTAAAAAATCAACAGGAATGCACAACAAACCAAAATAAAGTTGAGAATTGAAATAATTTTTGTTGTTTGAATTAACCTAAAATCCCCCCCCCCCCAAAAGGAAAATTACACAAATGCAGCCACTTCTCATCATAAGCCTTTTTTTTTAATTACTTGGCTCCAACTTCCAATTACACATGCATCTACGCAAAGTGGCGGCACCCACTTCTCATAGATGAGTTAATGCTGGCCACAGCCAAGTCATTCGAACACGGCTTGAACATCATCTTGTATGTATGTGTTCTTAGAATCCCAAGAGAATCACTTTTTAATGAGACAATTATTGGGACTTGACTCAACTTGATACCCTAGAATCCCAGTGATTATACATGAGTTCATTTGGGACCTCATTAAACTTTTGTTTCTCATTAAAGATTTCCATCGATTGTACTGTTTTCAAAAAACAGAAAGCATTCAAAGGTGTGTGGAACCGGTGAAGGGGTTTCATGAAATACTTGTTACAAAACAAAAATACAGTTGTTATAAAACAAAAATCCAGAATGTACTGAGTAAAATTTGAGGCTTTGCATGGTGGAGATACTAATGAATGAAAGGATTTGCGGAAACACCATGTGCGAATAATTTCTCAACTAAGAGAATGGTTCTGAAAAGAACCAGAGGTATAAACTCGACGTTCCAGTCAGTATATGCTCTGACCGTCTTCAGGAGAATACTGGCCAAGTAATTCGGACATGGCCTAAGGCTCTTATGAGTGGCCGTGATAGCGCCATCTACTGTTTGTGCATGCGGACACATAGTAACAACACAAAGCTTACATCAGTTTGGTCTGGGTCCACGTCTCGCCTAGTCCTATCTTCCACCATCTTCCCGGCAGCCAGGAGGATACCAGTCTCTTGTGCGGTGGTGAAGGTTAGAGAGACATCGGCTATCTTTCCCAGGGCAATGTTACGCATCTTGACCTGAGCACCTTCTAGTAGGCCCAGACTCCGAACGGTCTAGAGATAAGAGGGAAAGAGGTTGAAAAAGGACCAATTTGATTATACTTCATTTGAACACAGTAAATTTAACGGTACAAAAATTTGCAAACCACTTTGGAGCAGTTTAAATGTGCTCAACTTGTATACAATTTGAATAGAATCTTTACCTTTACACCGAGCATAAATCTGCGCTAACAGGTGGAAAAAGAGTTTTTTAAATTTAATTTATATGTATTTGAAATTACTCGTTTGACGCATCCATCTTCAACGCCTGTTGACAGACCAGGCTGGAGTAGGTTCTGCTGGTTACCGTACAGACCAAAGAACTTGATGCATCCATAAAATGGCTGAGTGGTTACATCGCGCCTGAAAAAAAAAAGCAAAATAATCACGGCTAACAAAAGTCCCAGAAGGTATGAGATGAAGGTGCTCTGCCTTTTGTCACTGTTAGTTTCATGCCTTCATTGCTGCCACAGTGATTTTTTTCTGTCAGTGTATCTTTTACCAATTACGAATCTACTATTTGTACGTAATTCTCATTCATAAATACCTGAGACAGTTTACCCATTCCTATTGGTCAAGAGCCGTCATTTGTGCATGGATTCAAACCACTGATAAAACACCGGCTGGTTTAAATTTAAACACAATTTCCTGCGTCCTATGCCACGTCGCAGAGTAAGCGCCGCGCATGCACCAATTTCCATATGAGATTCTTAGCACTACGCGTGGGAGGCACATACCATAGACAAGGCCAGAAGGGTGTTTTGCAAAACATGAAGTAAACTGTTGAGCAAAATCGTAGGAAGTTAGTGCATTTTGACTATTTGACCGAAAGTATTTATGAATGGGATTCAGCTTGGGCGATTATCGGCGACCAGGCCCCTACCCAATTTACATATTTATTCCCTTATTCAAGAGCCAAGTTGTAATTGGAATTAAAATAGCCCGCTGAACTTTGCCCAAGATGGCCTTATCTGATGTGCTCTGTTGATTGCAGTCAAGAAATTTATTCGCAACTCCACAACATATTCAAGTCACAAGTCCAGCATCTTAGAAACTCACTGCTTGATTTCAGAGAAAGAGAAAAAAAACAACCCATTAATCAAGGAATTCACCTTACCTGACATTATAGAAGCTTTGCACGCCTCCGACGTGAAGATATGCAAATTCCTCGATGGTTAATCCCGTCAGCGTTCCTGCAGATACACCGTTTCCCTGCCATACGTTGTCGATGTAGAAAATGCCTGTAAAAAATATAGACACAATATAATTTTTTTTTTTTTCATTTTGGTTGTTTTGTTAATTCAGCCAATGGTTAAAAAATAATCACAGGAATTTGCAATGTTGGACTCACACAAAAATAACAATTTACAAATACCATACAAATAAAACAATGACAACATAAAGTTAGTACTTATACAAAAAAAATACATCACAATAGCTGTCATATAATCAAACTTTCCCGTTATTAGAAACCCGCACGGCCGATGGTATAAAACCATTTCCGAAACGGTCGGTTTTGTAGGCAAAAATTATGCCTGTTGCGAAAAAAAAAAGTTTTTACTTACTGTTCCCTCGATTCCTTATGACGCTAACAGATATCCAAGTATTTGTGTTGACTCTTTCCCGTGAGGACACTTTACCAGTTCCACTGCCAAGATCATGTGAGACCACCATGTAACCGTCAATCAGCTCAATGGCCATATAGTCACGCTAGGAAAAAACACACACACACATCGAAACAGGTTTTACATAATACATGCAAGTGGTGGTGAGAAAATTGTACCGAAAAGATTTAACCAACCGACGGTATTAAAAGCACCATGAGATAATCTCTTGGTGGGTGCCTTTTTACTGACAATAATACTGAGGGTGCCTTTTACTGGGCATGTGTGGTCTAGCGGTAGAGCATAGGACTCATGATCGTGAGGTTGTGGGTTCGAGCCCCGCCGTGGCCATGCGTGTTGTGCCCTTGAGTAAGGCGCTTTACCTCAATTACTCCTCTCAACCAAGGTGTTAAATGGGTACCGGCATTATTCAATGCTGGAAAGGTAACAGACTCGCTGTGGAGGAGGTGTGGCGATCCCCCCACAGCAGCATAATGAGTCTGGCCCAATCGTTAATGAAAGAGAGATGGACACTCCGTTCCTGTGAACACAGGTTCGTCCCCTTTACCTTTTACTTTACCTTCACTGATACCAATCACAATGGCACAAAGGGGGGTACTTGACTAATCTCAAACTGCCGCAGCAGTACAGGATGGTCCAAAAAAGTTAACACTGTTTAGACGCAGATTTCTCAGAATTGGGAAGACATTTTAAAATTGTTTTCAGATATTTCTAAAGTACAGCATCTTCGTGGTATATAATGAAACGGCGCTGAAAATAAAGCCAAAATAAAAGAATGGCGACGGTTTAAAGATGGTCAAAAACCAGTTTTGTCCACACACAAATTTATGAGATATGGCCAACACAACAGAACTTCAATAATTTTTTATTCCTTTATTTATCCAGTGTAAAACCAAACAGCTAAAAGCTGGTTTTCATTAGGGACCTGCATTAAATCAACTAAAAATATGATTTTTACAAATCGAAGGCTTAAAAAGAAACAAAGAAGGAAAAAAACATAAAAATGAAATGATATGCACTTAACACAAAAGCATAATCTCAGAATAGATAAAAAAGCAAGCCAGCAACAAAAACAAATCAACTCTCTCTGTTCAATAACGTTACTAAAAAAAGAGCGCTAAAAAAGGAAAACAAACCCGAAATAAAAGTAAATAATGTAAAATAGGTTTACATGACTGCCATAGACTTGGACAAACTATAGTTTTTGACCATTTCTCTGTAACTGGCCGCTATTTCTTAACTTGAGCTTTATTTTCAACACCGTTTTCACCACATACCACCAAGATCTTGTAGTTTAGGAATATCTTAAAACAATTTAAACTTTCTGAGAAATCTGCGTCTGAAAAAGGGTGAATTTTTTTGGACCATTCTGTAGAAGGCGCTGTCAAAAAAAATGAATCAGATCAATCTAGGCAACTTTGGCACTTTTCAGAAGGCCATCATCTCCTAGCCAAAATCCCTAGAGGATGTTTCAGGAGGAAAGCAACCAAGTACCAAGTATCTACTGTACCTGCACAGAGTTCACTTTCAATTCAATTCCATATTACATTTATTTCCATACTGAAACAATAACATAACAGAGAGCAAAATACAATATTGTGGAGGCACAATCCTAATAAGCCAAGGCTTGTAGCGGAGTGCCTTTAGAAGAGAAAACAAAGCCTTTAAACGACTACTTGCATGATCACATCGGAACTTGTTTAAAAGCAAAAGGAACCTGAACTGACCTGATCTGAAGAAGCCATGTAGAAAAGCAGTGCCTCTTCGGCTTGCGTCTTCAATTGGAAAGCAATGGAAATTGTGTTTTCTCTCCATTCCCCTTTGCTGGGACGAGGGATGAGAGAGTAACCCGTCCCATCAAAGTTATAGACCCCTTCCTCGACCACTGAGGTGCTGGGGCTGATGAAAAGTACACAAAGCATCAGTGTTGTAGTACTCTTAGGCCAAAAAAAAAAATAAGTCGGTCTCTGGTCAGCGCGCGCGTCGATTTTAATCATGCGCGTCGATCTTTTTTTTCCCCAAAATGTTCCGCGGTAGCTCCAACAGCGCCCTCTATTTCCGCACCTCCTTAATTTTTTTTTTACCAAAGAGCACCAAGGAATGGGAAATTGCACCAAGGCAAATGATCGAAAGCACCAAGGCAAATTATGGAGGACACCAATGTACATGAGAACACCAAAAAAGCAAAATAGTACCCACCTTGTCTGTACAATCCAAGCTTGAAGAAAAGGAAAAAAAAAGCAAAAAAAAACAAAAAAGCCGCGTGGCCGCGTCAATTCCGGAACTTTGGTCTGACCAGAGACCGAATATTTTTTTTTTTTGGCCTTATCCATACTATAATGTCTAATTCTGACCCAAAATAGCAGGCACGCAACTTGGAATTAAAAAATAATTGAGGAAACTCCAAACCAGACAAGACTTTGTACGGTATTTTTCAACTTGTGATGGCATTCATGAGAAGTAAAAAACGAGGAAATTAGTGGATCCGAGGAAAAGTTGCATGCCTGAATAGACAGGGAATAACAGAGTCTAATAAATACAGTGCCTCATCATCGAGTGTTTCCTGAATGCCATTCACAGGTCAAGGGTCAAGTATACAATACAGTAGATCATATCCGAATGCAATAGAAATGTAAACATCACACATACTTGAAAATGTACTCATATATGCAAGAAAAAAATTCTTGTACTCATATTCATGGTAAAGTAGCCGTACTTGTACTAGTACTAATGGCAATGCATTCAGATTCATACTTAGCAAAATGTACAGGGTGGGTAAAAAAAAATTAAACCCAAATGTCAGGACCAATTTTTGAATGAATTTTTGCCAGTAGCACTTTCAAAATCTAGAATATGAAGGCCCAGCCATTAAACTTTCTTTTAGTACAAGAATCATTCAAATCACTCATGTACTGTTCAAGTTGCGGAATTTAGAACACAAACACTGCTTTAAAGTTCTGTCCACAGATATCACAAAAAAGTAAGTGCTTTTAGCAAAACAAAACAAATTCTCATGGGATGCATGTTAATTGTTTTCCATGGACAGAACTTTAAAATGATGTTTGCGTTCAAAATTCCGTAAACTTGAAAAGTACATGAGTGATTTGAATGATTCTTGTTCTAAAAGAAAGCTCATTGATTAGGCTTTCATATCCTAGATTTTGAAAGTGCTACAGGCAAAACTTCATTCAAAATTTGTCCTGCCATATATGGGTTTCCTTTTTTTTCTCACCCTATTCTTATATGCAACGAGTGAAATAAAAAGTCAAATCTTAACATTCAGGCCAACAAGGCATGGTCAAAACTGTTTCAATGTTTGAAGTTTGCCGGAAGGAAAGCAAGAGAGGAAAGAAGAACGGACGCACCTGTTACCACATCCCTGACATTGTCCCTCGATGCTCTTGAAATTCCACAATCCCACAGGTACATCGTCTAAGATAACCTCGCCCATACAACCCCGGAACTCTCTGCTTTCAACTCCTTGTACAACACTCTGAAAAAAAAAATTATAAGAAAATATGTTACTGGTAATTGCAAACCTCTGTATTAAATTCAGGATCCGGGAATATTTTTTCTTATTATAAAGTTATGGAAAACTAAAAGTGGAACGGTGAATTGTACAACATTGTAGCAATAGTTTTCCAAATTTGCAGTAAAACTATGGTGAGTTTTTTTAAGGGATATTACATGTATTGGGCATTGATGGATATAGATAATTTATGAACAGCATTTTTTTTTCATTTTTATATTTGGTGAAAACCCCATGTGAATACGACCTTCCGTTCAGAAGTTATGGGACTTAGAACACGGGCAGAACAGAAAGAAGAAAACAGAGAAATCAAACAGAGAAATCAACGATTCACAATTGAAGTGTTTATTAAGCACCAATAAACATGCTTTATTTCAGGTTATTGAATATTAACTCCTTAGCAAAAATGTCACATTTTAATTACTTTATCGTGAGTTTTTCTCAGAAAAAAAAAATAGGTGACATGAAAAAGGACATATGTAGCCTTCCGATTTTACAAAAAAGTTAATTTTGAAATTTTCACCCCTACTAAACTCATTATTGCCGAAAAATGACTCATTTAGCTTGATCGCATCACATATGCTCTTACACCAAATAGTTCCTGTACCAACCCAACCAGCCCAGCACTCTGTGGTTTTATGGATTCATCAGGGAATAAATACAGGTGCAGGTGCAAAAACAGGTGCTATGACAGGTGCTAATGGGTTTAACAGTGCCTCCATTTGGCAGCCGTTCTTACTGCCAGTTTTGTGGCAGTGACATTCAAGACGCAAGTTTAATATTTTCCCAAACCTTATTCTTTGAATTGCCTCAGGGCATTTTCTAAACCAATATTCTCCAACCTTCTAAAAAGTGGAAGTACTTACATCATATTTTCTGGGTATTCCTCCCACAAACATGAGACTGGAGCTATCAACATCCAGTATGCTAGACCCGACGGCCGACATGCCCGTCAAGACTACGGGAGGCTCCATGGTGTTCTCTGGGTTAGAGTTGTCCTCCTCTGAGATCAACTTCTGGACTTTGAGGGAGCCAGCATGACCAATCCTGATTGGAGGAAATCAAAAAATCAGGCTGTTTTCAAATTACTAGGTTCAGTGGCTTAGCCAAATTCCCAGTGTCCCCAAGGGGCCACCCCACAAAAATCTGAAAGTTTCGCTTGCCAAGTAAGTGGTTTTTTTTAAGTATCTTTTTGATTAATAGAACAGAAGAGGAGTGAAGAGTTGACTAATTTTTAATTGATTGTAATCCCTTAATTCCCTTGACCCTTTATGAGCAAAATCCAAATAAATTGGAGAGATTATGAGCGCCCTCTATAGCGTCAATTTCTGAGGCAATTTCTGATCAATTTAACCAATTTATTTTAGCAAAAGATCATCATTTACATATCATTATCAAGTTTGGAGGCGTTGAATTCGCTATTCTGAGCTGTAGCATCAAATGTAGGCTACAAAGTATATTGGGGGACGAAAAAAGTGGGGGGGGGGGGGGAAACAAACTATACGATATCCCCTCCATGTGAAAAAGTGGGGGGGGGGGACTTGTTCCCCCTGTCCCCCACCAATTGACGCAATTACTGTCTGAGTCCATATGAAAGTGTTATCACATCTCGCCACATCATGCATGGTTCTCTTGATAATGAATCCAATTTATGACTGACCTCTGTGCCTCTATCCTGTACCATTCCTTCAGTTGCATGACCTCAGATGACTTGATGGAGCCAACGTCTGCTCCGACATTCCAACGAAAGAACGGCTTTCCGTTGATTGTCTCCAGCAACATGAACTCATCCTGTGATTCAGAGAGAAATGATTTCACAGGTGTTTAAGATACAAAGAGGAAATTTGCGGCTGTCAAAAAGGAAGTCCAGTACTTCCACAGAAATCAATCTTAAAGACATCTTATGAACTGTTCTTTGTCACACTTAGCCGTGGTGCCCGCTGCAACCTGCCAGTGGAACCCAGTCAGCTGTAAATGGTTAGGTGTTCAGATTTCTGCACAAGCAAGTAGGTGCTTGGTTATGGGTTCGAGTCCCAAACAAGTAAGCTTGTCAAGTTTTCTACAAAACTGTAGTGTAGATAAGAAATGAGCCTACAGGGTTTACAACAACCTCAATAAAGAGCAGAACCCAATGTTAGAATATTCACATCATCAATCGATAAAAACTCCATCAGAAGTCATTGACTTAACCCTAAAGGGGCCGGGGGGAGGCGGAATCCGGCCCCCCCCCTCAACATTTTCCGCGATAGCCTCTAAAAAAAATCGGACCCAAACTTTTCCGGCGCTATGCGCTGTGAAAACTGAATTTTTGCATATACGTCGTGTACACAGAGCAGAATTGCCATTCGTACATATGAATAATTAATTAGCCATCATTCCAAAACCCTTTGACCTATAGTCATGAAATTTCTTGGGTATGTTTAAGAAGAGTTGCTCTATGCATGTGCTGAGTCTCAAATTTTTTCGTCACTCGATGGCCGAGATCTTAGGGGGGGGGGGAATCCCCCCCGGCTGAGAGATGGTCAAAATAACCCGGCCCCTTTAGGGTTAAGCCACATCCGAATTACTTGGCTCCGGCTTACAATTACACATACAATGGAAAGCGGCTGAAGCCCCTTCCCATAGACACATATGTTACTGCTAGCCACAGCCAAGTAATTTGAACGTGGCCTTACACTGCTGTTGCTCTTGATGTAGAACAGAAGATTGGTTGGGCTTGTGATGTTGACGTTCATGATCAGAGAGTTGTATGTGGACGGGCTGACTTGAGGCTTGTAGGAGCGTGCACAGTCACCGGTGGAGTACATTGATACTTTGATCTGTAAATTCATAAACAGGTTTAACAATTAGAAGATTGACGCATTTCAAATCTTGAACATCTCTATCTCTTGAACATCTTTAACCCCACAAGCACAGGGATGGAGAAAATTTGTGTAAACCTTTCAAAGTGCTGTGAAATTGGGCTTTGGTCTTAAGGACTGACCTTAGATGCTTGGTTGCGAGCTTGACGTATCTTCTCTCTAATCTTGCTGAGGTCCACCGCCATGTCGCCTTCCAGTGCCTTCATGTCATTGGCCTGTCCATTCAATGACGAGGACAGCCGACGAATCTGGTTGACACTGGATCGAGAATACCTGGCTACAAATATGGAACAACAAAAATTAAAAAATATAGCAAACTAAAGCAAACACGACAAATAAGTTGACTCTCAGTTTCCAACAAAGCACCATTTTACCGGTGCTTGAATAAGTTCTCTTTGTTGGATAAATTTAAAGAGCAGGTACAGTATTTAAGATGTTGCAGGGTCAACAAATGTTATTTTCTCAAATAAAACTTGATGAAAAAAATTCATGGGAACTCAAATAAGTTCAATCATTCTAAAGTGATTCAGATTTTTTTTTTATAAAGGTCCCCAGCTTACAAAATAAAATCCTGTTTCTACAAAAGAAGCATCTTCGGAAAATCCTCACAGTAAAATATTGAAATATTTATGCCATTTTTCAGAACCTTCCTGCTTTTAGTTGACTTACTTGCATTGCCGACAATTTCCAGGGCGTCATCCACAAATCTTACATCCTCCTTCAATTGTTCTATTTTTTTCTCCATCTCGGGTAGCTGTCTTGAGATCCCTCCTATTCTATTTCCAACATTCTCTGCTTTGTTCAGAGCTAACATGGATAAATCCAAAGCTTCTTGTGCAGGTGTCGTTAGATCTGTCAGGAAAACCCATTCATGATAAATGATTACTCCAGCACTGCTAATGGGATAATTAATCCAATTATGCCCATAGGAAAGATTTTGTTTTAAGCTAAAATGTAAAACGAAAAGAATAAGTTACCATTGGCACAAGTAGTAAATTTCTGCCAAAAAGTATGCTTAATACACAGTCGTGGTGGAAAATTTCTGAAAGTGAAGGAACTGGAATAGCGCATACGTCTCTGCAGTTAGGTACCCAAAAGCAAGCGGGCAAAGGAAAAAAAAATCAAAAAGTTGGGGCACATGCCCCCTTTGCCCCACCCGCATTTCTACAACCTCAAAAAATGAACTATACCAAATATTTTCCACAAAAAAAATTGTATTTAAGGCCACACATACACATTGCAACATAATTCATCATAAATATGTTTCCATTTGACTTTTTTTATTTATTTATTATATTTATTCATTTCTTTACCCAGGGTCTCTGTTTTAAGCCTTTTAAGATTTCCCTCCAATTTCTTTGAACAGCTCTATTTCTAAGCAAGCCTGTCTCCTAGAATCAAAACTGACCAATTTTTAGTGGAGGCAGTGCCTCCTGTATGGCTCTCAATCGCTTCTCCGCATCATCGTTCTTCTCAGTAACCATGGTGATATCATTCCGCACCCCATCTAGCATTGCCTCCAACTCTTCCAATCTAGGGAACAGGTTGTTAGTGTCCAGGGAGAGACTCTTTTCTAGAGACAGCAAGGCTAGGATGTCCAGGGGCTCAGGGTGACTCACCTGCAGGAATACAATCAATCTGAAATTAGAACTGTTATATCGATGATAAGCTTTGACCTCTGACGTCATGCCTGCAAGTTACCAATTCGCAAAGTTAACATTTTGCAAAAAAAAAAGAAAAAAAATGGCCATGAAACATTCTTAAGACCATCTCAGCTCCTTTGGGAGTATACAGCTTGATGCTGCAACTTCAGTGCTAAGCAGCTCAATCAATCACAATAACCATCTCTGCCCTCACAGGTACCCATTTACTCCTGGGTGGGGAGAAGCAATGAGTGACAAAGTCCAGGCTGGACTCGAACCCACAACCTGCAGAATATTCAAAAAGTTGCACCTTTGGAATGACTGAATCCTCTTAACAAATAAGGAATATCTTTGGGCAGGTTGACTGCGATAATTTTTTTTAGCAGGTGGATTTGGGAGTAATTTGGGGCATGTGGTTTTTATAAGCGCCTTGGAATCTGTCTCACTTGATAACTGGCATTGTTAGCAGCAACCATGGCCTGTCCAGCTGCCTGCTCAGCTTCATCTATGGCTAGCAGAATCTGACCGTAAGCATTGACAGCTCGGATGGAGTCCTCTGCATAGTCTTTGGTGGGTTGAAATAATCTGGGAATAAGAACCAACACAAAGTAATAACTTTTTCAATAAAGAAATTAGAAGGTTGACCAGGAAAGATGGGAGTTGTGACTGTGAGTGTAATTTGGAAGGCCCATTTTCATAAAGATTACCATTCTTTTCTTTCTCAAGATAATTTTCTTTTGACAAAGCTTCTTAAAAAGACTGGAAAAAAAAGTCTTGACACAAAAGCTGTTGATGTAAATATTTATTGAAAAATAGAATTAGCTGTTGCAAACTGCTTACCAACCAAAAGGACCTATGGTACAAATGCAAAAAAATAGTTAGTGGCCTGACGTTTCGACCCTAGCAGAGTCTTTCTCATCTTTTACATCAGTAATGTATACATGTACCTGTTTATGTTTATAGTCTTGTCATTTAGCCTTCGAGAAAGACTCTGCTAGGGTCGAAACGTCAGGCCACTAACTATTTTTTTGCGTAAATATTTATTCACGGACCCATTTTAACTCTCTGTTGTGTGTAGAACAAATTACTTTAAACAAAGAGAATTGAAATAATCTGCTGTGAATCTTGAGTCGATATATTGCTTTGCCATGGGGGGGGGGTGGAGAACCATTTTGAGCCCATATTTTGATTGGTCGTTAGCAAAGAATTAATATCACATTTTCACATACTCTTGCAAGTGTTGTGCCTGTCCTTTCAGTTTCTCTGCATGTGCCTCAGCTCTCTGGACTAACTCATCCAAGCCGAAGGAGTTCTGCTGGATGATTCCCACCTTGAAGCCCAAGTCTGATGTCACATTGGAGAGAAGAGCAAACTCCTCTCTAAGACCCTGAGAACAAGATAAGAGTGAGAAACTCAATGCCTCATGAGTAAAACACATGCAACTTTGATTCAAAGAACCCCATCCCCTCCCACGATCATGTTGAAGGGTGTTGGATAAACTTGTATATTTTATTATTACATCTTGTTGGTTCTTTATACACTTTCATGGGCTTTTCTTGGTAAGCTTTTCTGTGAAATGTTTGTTAACATTTCACACGTTTGGGATGACCTTTTCGGTTTTTCTGGGGAATATCAGATGTTTACAAAGACTTCTCAGAGAATCAGGATATATTTAAACCGGCTCTCATAAGCATCTTTAAATAATTATTACTTAAAATAGTTTCTCATTTTTAAAACAAAAAACTATTTTTGAAACTTTCTGGTCAATTCTTACAACTGAATTTTCAAAGCAAACATGCTTAGCGTTTTGCATACATTCTTAGAATTCAAAATCACAACTTTAAGAAAGGTATAAAGTCTCTTGTAGGAACTGAGATGAAATAATAAGACAATTACCACTCCAGAGGCGTTGGCTAGAGCTAACAGATCCCAAGCTTTGTCAATGAATTCATGGGCTTCAGTTAGTTTCCCTTTGCTCGTCTCCTTCAAGTCTTCAGTTTGCGTTGTAATGTTCTGCAAAGACAAAAACCAATATGTTTTCCTATTGCAAATTAGAGTAATTTAAAATTGAAATAATTTACGAGTCTACCTATCGTTTATGATTCCATCTACCTTTTCTGAATATCGAAGTTATTACATTATTTTCAATTCATTAAGTTTTGATATAGATTACAAATAAGGCATGCTACTTCAAACCAGTGTTTTCATTTATACCTGTATCAAATCCATCAAAGTATTACTGCCTTGGTTGATGTTGGTTGCATTCCCAGATTGGTTGGTAGCCTTGCGGCTTGTTTCTATCAGGAATTCCAGTTGCTTGGTGAAGTTTCCGATGGCAGAGCGGCCACGATCAATCATTGGCTGTAAATCGAGGATGTCGTCAAAGAAATTCCTGGCTTTGTCTAATGTCTTATTGGCTTCCCTGGAATTAAAAACAAGGTATACTTGATGTCATTTCTGTAATTATTACCCAAAAAAAAAAAACGGGGGTGAAATTTTTCTTACGGTGAAGGGGGGGGGGGGGTGGATAATGTACATATGTCTTGGTAAGGTTTCAAAAGAGGGTGGGCAAAGGAACAAATTTCAAAAAGTAGGGAGGAAAATCCCCCCTCCCCCACTTAATATGGAAACCAAATTGTCGATTGTAAAGGAATGCTCAATCTGCCACAATTTTAAATGCTTTTTCAAATAAAAGGAAACAGACAAGGAGCATTACAATAATTTTAAATTTCTTTGTTCAACTTGAAACATTTGTTTTAAACGATTAGGGGGGATTTAAACTGTTTATAAAACTTAACTGTTTCAGTTATTCTATAGTTTTAGTAAAATAGAAGGTTGGAATAATGAATTTAACATACATTTTCTTGATTATCTTCTTTTTACAGTTTCATTTACTTCTTTGTACATGAAATAAAGCATTTCAGATAGAAATGTCAGAAAGAAAAAAAAATCAGATTATCTCACCCAAGTTCTACATCTGCTCCCAGCTGTGAATACATGAACAGATTGTCTCTGTCGGAGATGTCCATGACAATCTGGCGTGCCTCCACCAGGAGGGCAGTAGACTCATCCAGAGACAGCTCCTTGCCAAGCTCCTCACGGATGTTGCTGATTTCTCCCACAATATCTGTATGTGATTGTCATTCAATAAGATTTAACTCAATAGACCTTTATCATGCTACCGCCATTTCAGTCATGTTCCCTGTATCCAATAACAGCACTGAATGATGTTTTTTGTGCAAAAATTTGAACCAGACTATTTTTCCTTCCAGCCTCACTTTGGTTACATTGATTTGAATGGGAAAAAATCAAGATGGCCACAACATAATAATGGTCTATAGTCCATGCACAGCCCCAAACCATTCTGTCTGTTACTCCCTGTACCACCCAAAACTGCCCTGCCTGTTACTCCCAACACTGCCCCAAACCACCAGAGAAAAATATTTGTATATATCAGGGAATCCATACAATGTACTACAATGTAGTACAGTGCCAATTGGCTAGATTCAAAGTTTGATTTGATTTGTCACAATGCATTATACAACACAATGCATTAATCATTTAATTCAAAGCATGCATGTTTTCAAAATTGTCAAAGCTTAGAACAATGCAAACCTGAGAAGGTGAACACCATTTTTCTTTCAAGACAGACATCTCCAAGTCTTACTTTTGTTGAAATCAGGTGTCACTTTTCATGTCCCTATCACAAAATTACAATCACTGCTAGATGTTCCTCGATCACAAAATGCATACCTTTTATTCGGTCAAATATTGCTGTGATATTAGCCTCTGCATCCAAAGCACGTAGGGTCGTTCGCTCAGCCTTGTTTCGTAATAATGTTGCATTGATCATGGTGCTGTTAGCCTGTGGGGGAAAAAATATTCAGGATGCCTTGTTGGTTGTGTTTCCTCCCAAAACAGATAATGTCAAATCTTGAATTCCCCAGAGACATGTTTATCAGTGGTTATACTTATTGAAGTCAGGTTGGCGCAGTGGCTTTGTCCTCCCCTTCCACCTCTGTGGCCCGGGTTCGATTCCTGCCCTGGTCCACATGTGGATTGGGTTGTCAGTCCCTGCCTGACTCCGTGGGTTTTCCCCAGAATATTATTCTGGGTTTTCCTCCCACCTCTAAAACTGTAATTTCTTCTCATTGTCTTCTCTCTACAGGTTTCTTCAGGCTTGCGAGCTACAGTGCCTAGGGTACTTTTGAGTAATCCTTGGTTTAGTTACCATAAACAATTAATAATTGATAATAATAATAAGATTTTAAACCTCACATTATACTAAATTAATGCAATATAACGTGTAAAAGATAATGACTGTTTCTTCCTCTCTGACATGAACTCTCGGAATTTACAGCCATCAACTAACGGTTATAGTTGAAATATTTTTTTTTTATTTTCCAATGTTACTACTTGAATACAAATATGTGATGCGATCAAATGAGTCGTTTGTCGACCCTGGTAAATTTTTTTTACAGATTTAAAAAGAGCACAATCTCAGCATTACTGCTGTGAAAACCGCATGCTGATACCATCTTTATTTCAAAAATTAAGGAAATCGGAACACCAAGAGATGTGATGAAGAGATGTGATGAAGTGGCCCTATTTTGGCCTGAATCTCCAAATGAAAGTTCCAGACAAACGACTCGCGTCACATTTTCAGATGTACTATATCTTACTCTCATTTCTAGGCTGTCTGCGTCCTCTTGTAAGCTGCTTGCGTCTGGCAAGTCTTGAAGTAGTTCCCTGGTGATGTTGAGAGCTTCCAATTGCATTTCAATTCTCTTCTGGAGGAAACAAAAATTTACAAAATTGTATTACTTCTAGCTTTCAAATATTCTCTCAAATAACTACCTCTGGATAGGCCAATATCTTAATTAAGATACAGGTTTTGATTCATATCTGGTCTGAGTAAAAATGTGGATAAGGTTTTAATCCCAACGTGATTTAGTGATTTTCATTAGACAACATGGTTTTTCGGTAAAATATGGAATACGTTTTCAATCTACTTTTAACAAGTTCTTTTAGTTTGCAAGCTGCAATGCACAGAGATAAAAGTGTTAAAACGTCAAAATACCTTAATGAGTTTGGTAGCATTTTCCATCTCTCGTAACTTTTCCCAGGGAGCTACAACAATGTTGGAGAAATTGCGTTCCTGAAGAAGTTGCTCTAAACGGTCTAGCTCTGTCAGGAGGAGGCCAGTGCAGTTTCCATAACAGGCTGTGAAAATATGAAAATGAAAAATATAACCCAAAATTTGCAAATTATGATAACAAAAATCATACCAACGGGCAACTGTTGGGCAATCGACAGGCAACCAAACATTTTTAAAAGCATTTTGCCCAAATTATCCACTTTTACACCAATCACATTCCAAGTGATACACATGCAGTGCAGAAGAAAATATTTGCTGAAAGTTGGCATCACGCGACCACAACATCTAATTTGTAAAAAGGTAATTTGGTCTTTAGAACTTCATTTTGCAATATGTGACCTGTTTTGTCAAAACAGACGCTTCTGGGCAGAGGTTGAAATTGAGATAGGGCCAAAAAACGCTGTGTGGTAATTTTTTTTTTATTTTCACATTTTTGCATATTTGTAATCCTGAACATGTCTAAAATATACTATAAAAGTTTGGAACCCTAATTTGAACTCTAAATATAGTATTTTGATGATTTGTTAAGGTATATCAGTTAAAGAAATTACTGTTTTGTGACGTTTGTGGCCATTTTCTCCATGCTCTACTTTTCGACACAATGAACTTCAAAATAGCATAACAGTTCGCAGGAATGACCCGTTTCAAAAATTAAACCACCTATTAAAAGGAAAAAGAACATATTTTAACAATATGCAAAAATCTCGTTTTTGACCTTATGCCTAGAATAGTCTGATTTTGACAGAACAGGTCACATATGTTTATCTGGACTATGTTACATTAAAAATACAAATTATCTTACGATACCATCAAAAGTGACAGCATGAAATAAAATTCTTACATGAGCATCCTGTTTCAGTGACGACGTATCCCGACCCTTCGTCACACTGGTCGCAGTTTTCCCCAGTGATTCCCTCCACACACAGACAGTCACCTGTAGTCTTGTCACAGACTGATGAGATTGAACCGTAGGTGTTGCAATCACAGGGCTGACAGGTGCCACCGGGTGTGGTCGGGTCACCGTAATGACCGTCATCACAGCTGATATTTAAAAGATGTTCACAAGGGAATTTCGTTCAGAAAGTCAATATCAGAGAGGCACTTATTTCAATATGAAGAAAACGCTTCCTTGGTCATGTACCAGGAATATTATAGCCCAGAAGTACCCCATCAATGGTTTCAAGATCGAGGAGAAAGTAAGACGTAAGTGTACTCATTATTCTAGCAACTGCAAGGAATCTCAAGATATACTTACCTATCACAGTATCTCCCAAAGTAGCTTGTTTGACAATCTGTACATCTGTGTTGACCATCCAATGGATCTAATATGCATGTTGGACTGAAGCTACAGCAAAAATAAATTTGTATGAGAATCTAATTTTTTTTTTACCTAACCAATGCAAAAATATTGGAAAATATTGTTAGATTCAGGATTTGATTTTCCAATCCCTCCATTTTTTCCATGAATCATTTAGTTTTTTCCATATCAGGTGCTTACTAAATTTTTGTAAAAGTCTTTCATAATAATAATAATAGGTTCTTCTATAGCGCTTTTAACTAAAATCAAAGCTACTTTACATTACTATTACCCCTGATCAATGGGCCAATGAAACAATCCAAATACAATCTCAGCTCCCTGGGGAGTATACAGCTCAATGCTGTTATTTTGGCGCAAGGCAGCTAAAATCAATCACAACAACCATCTCTGCCCTCACAGGTAACCAAGTCTTTTATGATTAACATGTATGGAGTACCGAAGTAAATACGTCACGCGTACAAAATGTGTGTGAAAGACATTAGCGCGTGATTCAGCCCGTGAACCAATACGCGCGCGTACTCCATTCGTTTGCACTACACTTTCGGGTTCTAAATGTCGTCACACTTCGGTACTTTCTATATATGACAAATATTAGTTTGACAACTGATAATTCAAAAGACATCTTACTCAAAAGACATCTTACTTATAGGCAGGATCCAGGGATGGGCAAGCACACTGCATGCAGTCAGACGGGGTACCACCTGTTGCATCGCCATAGAAACCAACATCACAGATGTTGCATTGTTGGCCGGTCGTGTTGTGCTGACAATCCTGATTAATGGTGGAAACAATTGGAAATATTGGAAATAACCAGCGGACAAAGAAAAATTAGAAATGTATGAACAGGAATGGAACCTAATGAATTGTAAAACTCCTTTTTTTTTTAAAGTTTACAGTCAATGGCCGATCCAGGGGGGATCCTGCGTACACCACCATCTTTTCCTCAAAGAGAAATTGGTCAAAGTGGTCAGAAACTGTCTCAGACTGCACCACAGAGCATCTAGAATCCCAAAAAAATTTGGGGCCTTAAGCAGGACCCAAATCCCACGCCATTATTTTTCGGACCCACTTTTTTTGGGATCAACATTTTTTTGGCCTCCCCCCCCCCAAAAAAAGTGTTCTGGATCCACCCTTGTTTATAATTACCTCACACAGGCCTGTCCTATCATCACAGATATCGGAATGTCCAAAGCAGACGCAGGGCACACAGGTGCCAAGGTAGTCTCCACCAGATAACCTGAAGTAACCTGAATCACAGCGCTGCAACAAAGGAACATAAATAATGCAAGAATAAGTTTCAGATTTTGCTAGTATTGCCCTCACGTCTTGATTTTTTTTTCTATCCAAGAGTCTAGGAGAAACCAACCGAGATCCCTTAAGTGAAAAATCGTCTTTACCAACGTAAGGTTTAGTTATTTAAAATTTGGGTGATAATGAAAGAACAGTGTGTCTACTCAGCATATCAAAGAAAAACAAAGACTTGTCTACAGCGAGGGCGCTCTATGCAACGGGTCTATTTGAGGATCTGTGTAAAACTGAAGCTTAGCTGCTGATTAGACACGGCATTTGATTGGAGACTTACTTCACATGACAGCCCAGTGTAGCCGGTGGGACAGTCACATTGCTCTACTCCAATGGCTGGGTCACCACTGATATCACCCCTGACTGGACCAGCGGTCTCTAGAACAACGTCGTCAATGCTGAAAGAGGAAAATCTCAATTCATTTATGAACAATGACTTCTAATTTGTCTCAGCTGGTGGTGTATTTGGGGGGGGGGGGAGAGGTGAAAAAAGGGTGTTTCACAGCTTTGTTAACTTGATGCTGTGTCCAATATCGTCTGCTTTTAAGAGAGTCTCCAATAGTCAGATATTGTCCAGCCCCCCCCCCCCCCTCCCCAACCTTTTAATTGTCGCGGCAGCTGGATAACTGGAAAATAAATCTTGGCCTTCTAGCGCAGAGAGTCTCCTTTCACCATGTTATGTTCTGGCATTGAGTTCATAGTTAAATTAATGGTTACTCACAGTGAGTAGACAGTATCTGGTCCGTATGTTGCTCGGATGAGGATAGCTCGGATGTCTTGTAGAACCATCATGAACTCTTCTCTGGTTGGCTGTCTGCCGAAAGGCTGGAGCTGAAAGTTGTGCTGCGATAATTCAATCAAATACACAAAGAATGTTAATCATGAAGGACAGTTTGAAATAATTAATGGGTCTTACCCTTAATTTACTGATGTAATTTCATGGGTATAGATCAATAAATCTCTACATTCTTAAATGAAAGATTCTTTCTATTGCATGAGGTACTCACCTCCAGTAGTTTAATACTGAATGCTTGTTTAACATCAGGGAGTAGCTCTGGCGTGTCTAGGGTGACTGCATAGCGAACGCCAAGGATCTTAATGTCTACCGTGGAATCCACTGGCGAGATGGATGGCGGTTTCAGTCGATAGGCCAGGGTGAAACTAAGATTGCCTCCATATGACGACACCTGTCAAATAAAGAAAAACTTTAAACAATGACCACAAAATTGTGATGAGCTTGAAGAAAAAGTTATCATTCAATAATTGGTTTTGCCCTTTATTAATGTAATTTCAAAAGCATACTCAGTGCTGTCCATGGGCTTGCTAGAAAAAAAATGACAAGCTTACTTGGGCGGGACTCGAACCCACAACCTGCTGCTTACTAGTGCAGATGTCTTACCACTCAATCACAGAGCTTGTCAAGGTCTGCTGGCCGATTCGAATCAGATATTTGAATCAGACAGTTTTGACGGTCAAGAATCCATTTTTTTCCTTGTAATATAACTGGCCATATTTATATATAAACGTTTTACTTATACCAATCTTAATTTCATTTTTATTCGTATAAGTTAATTATTTATTTGTTTAGAAGTTTATATGATGTATTTTGTCACTTTTTGATGTTGTAATTTATAATGGTTGCCAATAAAATGATCCTTACCTTACCTTAACTTATATAGCAGCACGTACAATCAGTTAAGCAAATATTTAATTTATGAAACATGTCTCCGTTTACCTTATTTCCAACGAAAGCAATGGGTAGATTCCAGTAAAGCTCGTCTACATTCAGAGTGAGAAAGGCTTCGGTGGCATTAAGATCAACACGCTCTGTGGTGAATGTAACACCACGTTGGGTTGGTACGCTGTAGAAAACGTCACTGACGGAAAAGTCATTGGTTCTGGACGACATCCTTAACTGTTGGAAGGGGAAAGAGATTATCTAAGTTTTAGGAAGTTGAGTCAAGGGCAATCGTTCGGTGTAACTTTGCAGAATATAAAACAAATCTTTTCAATTATTCTGTACACATTTTGACCAGGTCAGTGTTTCCAGACTAGGATTTCATGAGAGCTACATGTATGTCATAAATTTTGCAACATTAGTGTAATTACTAAGAAAATGAAATTTCTCTCAATTCATTTAAAATTTCCCAGATTTCATTAAATTAATAATAATCATCATCATGGAGAATTGTAATGCGCCATGTCTATGACATTGTGACACTCCTGGCCGAGCATTATTACCCTGCTCATTGGGCCAATAAAACATTCCAAAGACCATATCAGCTCCCTGGGGAGAATACAGCTTGATGCTGCCATTTTGGCGCAAAGCAGCTAAAAACAACCACAATAACCACCTCTGCCTTCACGGGGAGAAGCAATGAGTGACAAAGTGCCTTGCCCAAGGGCACACGCACCATAACCCCAGGCTGGATTCGAACCCACAACCTGCAGAATTACCCGCAGACCACGAATCCAATGCTCCAGACCAATATTAAGTTGTACAAAATTTCCACAACAAATTTGTTTACGTCTTTCCTGACTAAGTCAGTCTGTCTGCAGTTGTCGGTGATCCCAAAGCAGAAACAGCTCGTGCAGCCCTCCGGTAGAGTTGCCCGCAGACTGAAGGATTTATTGATGCATTTATCACACTTCTTCCCTCTCACGTTGGCCTGATAAAAAAAATAATCCTGATGAGTTTCTTCCAACAAACAATGAAACAATATCCGCTTCTGAAGTTCAAAATAGACTTTAGCACTTAAGTTATGAGTAAGGAAATTGAAGAATCTCAAATAATGAAAACACCTGTTTTTAATGATCGTTCCGATTTTACACAAATCAGGCTTAAAATATGTAAATGTGAGAAAAATCAGTGTTTTTATTTTACCTTGCAGGCACATTGTGAATCATCAGCACACTGGCACATTCCATTCTGGCAAGAGGTAGGGTCAGTTCCAACTTCGTCACACTTGCATCGCTTACATCTCGGGTAGTCACGGTAACCAAACGGACACTCATCACAACGGCGCCCGACAAACTTCCTCTTACAGCTAGATATGTGAAAATTGACAAGTGTATTGGCAAGTGTGAAGGGTTTAATGCTAGTTTACCATATAACAGCTTTCATTTCTACACTGTATACTCAGTGTTGTCCCAAGTGATTTTGAGAAAAAAATCACTCGGGCGGGACCCGAACCAATCACCTCCTGCTTACTAGTACAAACGTCTTACCATTTGACCATCGAGCTAGCCGGGGTAATAAGACCTTTCGGTAAGCAGGAAGTCGTGGGTTCGAGTCCCACCTGAGTGATTTTTTCTCAAAATCACTCGGGACAACACTAAGTATGCAGTGTTTATAGAAAAACGTCTGTGAAGGACAAACCTAATATTGAATTTAATTCACCCCTACGCAAATTCCATCTTGTGAATAGCTTTCATTTCGCTATGGTTACACAAATCAAACTTCGGTGCCAACACTTTAAAGCTTTTTATGTGTTTCCCTAGGTGAAAAACAATTCCAAATATAAACACAGATGTCAGTAAAGGAATTAAAATGTTTACCTGCATTGTCCATTGGTTGGATCACAGTCAGATCTTGAGGAACCTTCAGCGCTGCAGTTACATGGCTAGTTAGAGAATGAAAGAAAAATGAATGCATTAGAAATACTCCGTTTTAATTAATTACAAAGGATAAATCGGAGTAGCATAGACTGGGCCCTGCATGAATCCATTTCTTGCCAACAAAATTCCTGATATTGGTTGGAAGGATGGAAGGATTTATGAAAGGAACAAATCAACTGATATCAGTGGCGCACCCAGGATTTGGCTTGGGAAAAAGGCTCACAAAGTTGTGTAGAAGTTTGATTTTCTTCAAAAAATGTTGCCCAAAATGTTTGGCCGCAGAAAATAATAAAAAATAAACTGTTTGGGGGCCGGACTATTTTGACGTTGGTGGTGCCATTTACACCCCTCTCATACTACTCAAAAAAAGGCCACATACATATCACCACAGTCAAATCGCGGGACTTGACCCCCCCCCCATTTTGTTTTGACTTCGTGGGGGGGGGGGCGTGGGGGGGGGAGGCTCAAGCCCCCTGAGGCCCCCCTCCCCCCTTGGATGTGCCACTGACTGATATGTTATTTGCAATTTGAAAAAGCCCCAAATCAGGCAATTGCAGTAGGACTTACATCCTTAGTTAAGTCCAGTGAGAACATTAAGGCATCACATACCTTACATCCAGTGTGAATGTCATAGCCCCAGTGGTCATCAGCACAGCTCTCGCATCTCTGACCGACGGTGTTTGGCGGACAAGAGCACTGACCGTTGACGGGATTACACCACACGCTGAACTCACAATCACAAGCTGAGTGGGGTCAAAGTAATTGTCAAGAGATCTGAAACTGCTGAAACACTTGCACCAATTTCATGGGCTGACAATCCTCAACTTTTGGCTGGAAATTTTGACTGTTGCACACTCATTAAACTGTGTCACATTCGACTGAACCAGTCAGAAATACAGGAGAGTAACAGCAAGAAATGCAGGTTTTTACGAAGACGAGTTTGCCTAGAATTGCTAGAATTTTTAAGAGGATGCAAGAAAATTGTTCAACACAACTTCGCTTAGGTAGGACTTGAACCCGCAACGGCAGACAGCCAACATAAAAAATTCATGACAACTTTACAAGTTGAAAATCCAGTAGCAATCTGTAACTTAAAACTGCATATTTCTTAACCTTTCACAATTAGCAAGAACATTTTGCCACGAAGACAACGTTATGAGAGCTGTGAAGTAAGCACTTTCTGAGAGCTTGTAAGGAAACTTTAAAAGTTACTTGGGTGGGAGTCGAACCCAGGACAGTCCCTATTGGTGTCACAATGGCAATGAGTAACTACAGTACAAACCTTGGCATCCTGTTTCACTTAAGTTCCAGTATCCCAGCTCACACTCGTCACATCTCATCCCAGTCACTCCTGGCTTACATCGACACTGGCCAGTCATGACATCACATGTATCGTCCAATGAACCCACAGGATTACAGTCACATGACTGACAGCCAAGTAAAGATTCCAGATTCCAAAAGCCAGGCTGTACGCAATAGATTGGAAGATGAAAAGAGATTGGAAGAAAAAAAACAGGTGAAAATCTAAAGCATTTTTTTGCAACTGGTTTACTCAAAAGCAGGTTTAAAATCAACAAAATGTCAACAACAATGATATGTAGAGTAAAGCAATTAGGGAATTTATCGTGTCCAAAAGCATGCATATTTAACATCTTTGTCTGATAAACGTACATATTTTTAAGATGCAGCTAAATGTTACTCAACAGTTTTTCTTCTACAATTTGGGTTTTAATTTTTCATTGTACTCTTTTGCTTGAGTTTCATCTGAAACACGACAAAATATAATCAAACTCATTGTCTGTTTGGTTGTTAGTAAACTCATTGTCTCAAGGACATTTCTTGAAGTTATTATAAAATTGCTTACTCACAGCACACTGATCGCACGATAGCCCAATGACGTTGGGTTTACACTCGCACTGTCCTGTTTCACGATCACAGAAGGAGGAGATTGCTCCATCTTCATCACAACGACACTCTGTCAAGGACCAATGGTTGAAATTCAGAAAGTGAAAAAAGTTAAGAAGAAACTCATGGTTAATTAACTATTCACACTCTGTGCAATTGACCTTTTGCCGTTTGCGAGTTAGCCATGCCCCCGTGGAGTTTTTGTACACTATAAGTTTTGTTTGTCTCAGATTTTGCACGTTCCACGTCCATTTGTATATCATGTAATTGGACAATATTTCACAAGCTGCGTTGACGCGATTCTAACACGATTCTGCCGCGATAGGTCAATACTAGGAATGCTGTGGGTTAACGAAGACTTTAAAAAAAATTAAACATCAGTTCTGACAATTTAATTTGTTTCTAAATATTGAGTCTTAAAATATGGATAACAATTTCCCACGAAGAACTTTAGCTCCCCCAAATGGAAAAGTTCAGTCTAAAACTGTTTTGGTGAACTGTGGACTCACCTTGGCAATTCTTAGCTTTGATTGCATCTCCAAAGTACCCATCTCTACAATGCTCACAATGTGACCCGCATGTATCACCAATACAGATCAGACACTCTCCAGTCAGTGTGTCGCAACTCGCCGGAATATCCGGGTTGATGTTGTTGTTACAGAGAGGAGCACAGGGGCGACAGTAACCTCCGTCCTCCATAGGGTTGCCATAGAAACCATCAGCACATCTGAGGGGAAGGATCGCTCATACCGGTAAGATTTATTTAAAGGTGTGATGTCTGTGAATCATTGCTTTTCCAGAATAAACCTGAGTGATATTAGTTTGCCAGAAAAATTTCAACAAAACAAAATTATCTCTAAGGTTTACCATCCACACAGTGATTGCTCAAATAGAGAAGTGTCAATGTGAATTGTGTAAAGATTTAGAAAGAGATAATGGAAGAGTTTAAAAATCTCACAGCAAAATATATTTTGGAAGTTGTTTTATATCAAATATTTTGTTCAAAGTCAATAAATGGCATAAGAATATTTGGCAGAGATAAATGACTGCTTAAAGAAGTGGGATGAGACTATTTAAAGAGCCTTTCAGCTGGTGAAATGTTCAGATATAAATGTTTCGGGGACAAGAAGGCCAACCCTATTACTTGATCAATTAAAATGAGGCAGTGAGAGAATGATGCCTCTAACCCCTTACCGCTCACATCTTGGGCCAGTGAAGCCACTGGGGCAGGAATCGCACACGTAGCCAAACTTGGGATCAGATACACATGTTGGACTGAAACTAAATGAAAACAAATAACAAAATGTCAATCAAATTAACAACATAATTTAAATGAATATAAGCAAAATAATTTCAGGCGAGGTGAGCAAACAAAGTTCTTATCATCTAACAACACAAGCACAAAAACTATAGACCTCTCTCATAGACAGCCATCTTCATAGAAAAATTACAACTGCTCAGTGTGCAAAATGTTCTAAACACATGCGCATGTTGCTAGGAATTTCTTCGAAATATGGCGCAGCCGATGTGCATCACGAAAATTTGATGCCCAAAATGCTGATGCACGTCACAATCTGTAGAAAGTGACGTCACTTGAGGTACTGCATAATTTCATCATCTTTAGAACTTTTGGGACAAATATGCTAATTTACAAATATATACTGAAAAAAATAGTAAGATGGTTAAAATGTGCCAGAGTCATCTAAGATGTCATTTTTTAAAATGAAAATGAAGAATTCTTTCCGAAGACACTGACAGACACACAAACACTCTGTGTGATTTTCTAAATTGTCCTTATGAGATGCCCTGCCTGTCTTTTCTGGTAGCTTACTGATTAAATACAATTCCAGATGTCCTAGGATAATCCAAACAGAAATCAAATCAAAGATGAATAAATCAAAAATTAATAGATAAAGTCATCCCTACTTGTTCTCTGGGTTTTGTAGCGGACAGGCACATGGCTGGCAGTCACGTATTGTGCCCTGGACAGAGTAGCCATAGAACCCAATGGCACAGAACTCACAGTGGGGGCCTGTTGTGTTATGGGCGCAATCCTAAAACAAAAACAGAACATTTTAAAATCTGTGGGTTTTTTTCTTCAAATACTAGCACCAAACTATGTGAAGATCTAATGTTTTTGATTGCTAGTCTCAAAAGCTAGGGGCATGAAATGGAGAATATGCTGCCTAAAGGCAAAAGCTGGAGAAAGAAAGCTGAGGTTTGAGAAATGGCCAAGTAACTCAACCACAAGTTTTGCCGAGGGAAAAAAGTTCATAAGGTCATTGTGAGGTCACAAAGATAAGGGTATGTTCTATCCAGGAAAAGCTGAACAAGTTCTCCTAAGTCTTCTTGACAACATGAGGGGCATCAAAAAAAAAATACAGTACAAGTATTTTTTAGTTTTGAATATTTTACAACACATTCTCTTTGAATTTAAAATGGGTTACTTTTGAAGAAGAAAAAAAAACTTTTAATAGCACTCTAGAGCCCTGCTTGGTTGTTTCCTAAATTTTGTGGTTTTTTTAGGGGGGGGGGGTGTAATCTGAAATTATATCCCTGTCAGATAGTTGTATTTGCGCTTGTGAAAAAAAGTGTCAGAGTTGTACAGAAAATTTGGATTTTGACCTAAAGTTTTCAAGGTCAAAATCAATAAATGTCAGAAGCTGCCACTTCCTCTGCCATAAATCTTATGAAGTCCCTGCCTACAAGTGTCATCAACGCACAATATTTCCTGACTGCTGGCACTATTTGTGTTGTGTCTGAGTTTAGTGCAAATAGTATCTCAATCTTATCACAGTTTTGAAGTCTTTGGGACACTGTGTCATCAAAATACAGATAATGTTTGGACAAAGTTCTTTCATTTCGAGTACCACCTTTTTGACAGATTTGATAACCATACTACAGGAATGTTGACACATGACAAACAGGAAGATTCTAAAAATACATACAGAAGAATTAGACGTTTCGAAACATTGACAATAAATGAAAAGATTAGGTTTTAGGGATCTACTGTTTTTGGACAGGATAGCTAGGAGAGATATCGATAGGGTTTAGGATACGAATGAATAAGGCTTATTCCAGGACAATGAAAGGTTGAATACTATCCATGGAAAAGAAATCAATTTTCCTCATTATGTACATAACTACTAACTAATCATGCATATAAGGGCAAAATAATCAATGTAGAATTTTAACATTAAAGGGAATGTACATCATTGGCTTTTGCTTTAATTTTCAGAAATGAACTATTTGAGGGGTTAGTATAATAGATCAAATTATTGTTGCACTGACATGTTTGAAGTTTTGTGTTCGGAAATGCTGGAAAAACCAAGAAAAACAAAAATGTTCAAGTAGTCTGGTTCCCTGACTCCACTGAAAATTAAATGGATCAATTCATAGATGCCGGAAAATTGTACGGTAAGGGAACCAGTCTAGCTGGCCTGCCCCCATTCATGAACATGCAACCAATAGGAAACAAAATTTGGACTGAAGAAAAAATGATAAATTTTGAGCAGTAGTTGAATAATAGTTAGGTTTTTCCAACGATAGTCGGCCGACCACCGTTGGAAATGTATACAAAAATACCATTTACTTTAAAATGACTTCACACCAGGTGCCATAATTTTACTGGATGCTTTAGACTGTCATTTACCAACATCCTGTAAGGTATTTCGTAAAAACTTGGTAGTTTTATTTTTCGATGCTTGCAAATGTTGTAATTTCCCTTTAAATCCAGCTTTCTATCAAATGGTCTTCCAAAAGCGCATACAGTGAGGGAAAACACAGGTGATAGCAATCAAAACTTGTCAAAAGATGTAAAGTGAACTTGGCCTTATCTCTGCTGGATCTGATTCAAAGCAACTTACGAAGCACTCTGCAGTGAAGTCACTACACTCCGTGGCGTGGTTGTTGCAATGACACGGCTCACAGATCCCATTCAGAAGTACACCGTCGACTCGCCTGTATCCGATTTCACAGGACTGTGAGAAGAAACGGGATCAGGAAAACTCTTCAATTCTATACCAGGTTCACATTGTTGGCCAACAAAGCAAGCAGATTTAAACAAATTAAAGTTTGCAGTTTCTATGTACCTAGCGGAAAATGGAATTAAATATGGAATAATTGACGAAATTTCGGAAGATATTTTCATTACAGAAAATTACACACTTTCTTCCACTAAACACTTGTGCCATGCTCGACAAAATGTCAATTTTTCTGAAAAAAAAATCTTTGAATGAAGGCTCTGAACCCAATTCTTGTTGGGAGGAGGAAACAACAGTTAGAATTTATCAATGCAATATATGACTTGAATTTGAAATAACCACAGTTTTCGGAAAAGGGGGGGGGGGGCTTCTCTTGAATTGACCATTTTATGAATAAATCTATTTATCAATGAATCAACTACAATTCCTCTTTCTTCCGTCAGTTAATTTTACCTCACAAGAGAGCCCTTCATATGATGCAGGGCATGTACACTGCTCAATGCTTGCAAAGATGCCAGGATCAGTCGCTTCTTCAGATGCCGTTTCCAAACTGACGTCACTCAGTCTTAAGATGAGAAGAAACAAAGGAATGAAATTCTACACTTACTCTATATTTTCTAAACTTTATTGTTTTCTTTTAGAGAAAGAGGAGCTGTTTTAATATTCTGTTGCTCAAAAATACACCTGTTCGGTACTGAAAATTGAGAAATTTGGGATCATCAATTTGTAGCTCAGTTAGTAGCCTTGTTCAACTGAAATTTCCTTTCAAAATTCTCTGGTACTGAAACCAAGGGTACTGCAGCCCAGAAGCCAAAAGAGGGAAAGAAACCGAAAAAGAGAAAGCAATAGATAGTTTCTGAGTTGGGAGGAAAACCCTAGATCTATTTTCAAAGGAGGACCCGTGAAATCAGACAGGGACAGTAAACCCAATTTAATTCTCAAACTAGATGGGATTCGAACCAGGGTCAGAGAAATGGAAGGCGAGCAAAGTATCACTGACTAAGCATGACTCCTTGACTTGTTTATGCCTTTTCTTACCTAGACTCTACCACACCAGAGCTGTACACCGCCCGGATCATCAGTTTTTCCAACCCACTCAGCACGGACATGAAGTCGGCTTGGGTGGCCGGTTGTCCTCGTGACCCCTCCCCCAGGTCAGTGTTAGGAGCTAACCGGTGCCAATCACGCTCTGTCATTGTTATCACCACCGTCTCCTTGGTATCAGGCATGACTACCAGCGAGTTTTTGTAGATGGAAATGCCGTTACCCTAGGAAACAAATATTCAAGTTGCAACGAATATCAAATACTAAAGACAAAGTTGTCATTGATTGTGTTTTCCACCCGACCCGACAGAGCTGGTTTTCAATGCTGATAAGAAACTCAATAAATTGATCATGAACCAGGAAAATATTTCAAATTTCAGTGATGGAAAGAGATTCACATGAAACAGGAACTTAAATCCTCTCCCTGAAAAGTACACTTAGATGACACAAAACACAAAATCACTGTGACAATGTAGCTACCCCTTCCAAATCTTCATACAGTTTATTTTTATCATTGTATCACTGCGAACTAATTTCTATAATGCTGAGGGAAAATATTAACATTTTTCATTATTTAATTGTGATGCCACTGTTGCGTTTGTATGTTTTCTACTTACCTCCATGATGACATCAATATCTGTTGTTGGGTCGGCCTGTTTGCCAGGTTGATCCTTGTAAGACACTGCGAACTGAAGCCGGCCACCATAGGCAGTCAGCTGCAATTAAAAAATAAACCACATCAAATACAAAGCGTTTAATAAGAAGTTCCCATCAATTTCACAACTCTAGAAAGTAGCCATCCCCCACTTCCTTTGGCATTATGATGTCAAAATGAAAGCCAAGTCAAAACTACACGGCTACGGCTTGCGAACACACGCGTGCCTATGGAAGCGGCTGCAGCCACTTCCCATTGACAAGTGTTCATCCCAGCCATAGCCGTAATATCGAACCCAGCCTTATTTATTGGAGTAAGAACAACATAATTTGTATGAGTACAGCCAGAATGGGGGAATGTGTGGCCTAGTGGTTAGGGTTCGTGACTTATAATCGGAGGGTCCGGGGTTCAAATCCAGCCGCTGGTCATATACTGTGTCCTTGGGCAAGCCACTTCACCCCCACTTGCCCCTCTCCACCCAGGAGTATAAATGGGTACCGGCATTAGCTGGGGAGTAACCTGTGATGGACTAGCATCCCGTCCAGGGGGAATAGAAATATTCTCAGTCGTTTCATGCCACTGAAACCGGAGATAAACGCCGGCCTGATGAGCCACATTGGCTTGCGACAGACTTGACTTTGACAGCCAGAATGAATCCGCAATCATAGTTGAGATGCAAAGCAAATCTACCTTATTTCCCAGGTAGGGTCGGGGGGCACGCCAGAAGTAGTTATCGGCCTGCAGCTGCTTCCTAGCCTCCAGATGGTTGATGGCAATCATGTTTGGTCCAGCGATGCGTGGGGTTACATAAGCAGAGGTTTCTTGATTGGTAACAATCCAGTCATTCATGTCTCTGATCTGATAAAAGTAAGAGTGATGAGAGAAAGACAGAATACGAGAACAAATTAGACTTGTCAAGCAACTTGATGACACAGCAACATTGCCATGGACAACTGCTATGGTTATAAGGACGAAACGTAATCAAAAAACAATTAAGTATTAAAAGCAGACGTACCTGCCGATACAGCCAATTATGGAATTGGTCGTAAGCCTCACCCACCTTTGCTTTGTGTACATTTCTCACAGTGCTTGCGACCGCGTTTTTCTCAGTGCTTGTGACTGAGCTTGGCTGAGCTACCGTAATCACGTGACCAAAAATCATGATCTAATTGGTCGATGCTCACTGTTTCATTGACAAGCAGGAAAGGTTATATACTGTCACTCAAATGATATGATGAAATACATCAGGCGTTACCTTTTCAATACCCCAGGGTATGCTCTCACACACAGTGGACAAGCCAAAACAGAAACACCTTGTGCACCCTGCTTCATCTTCCTCATTTAGATTGAAGTACCCGGATTTACACTGATCACAACTCTGTCCAATCACATTTTCCTGAAAATAGAAAATCAAAAAAGAATTGACATCTTGAAAACAAAGTAATGCTTTGGAGGACAGAAAAATTGTTATGCACTTGCTTAAATGGGATGAGGAAATAGTCCCAGACTTTTTTACCTTTGAGATAGGCAATTTGATCATCCTCAAATTTTTGTGCTAATCAAATTAAAAAACCTCTAAAACAGAGCTAGTCAACCAGTGTTCCATATCATTCAAGTCAAGTCTGTCACGAGCCAATGTGGCCCATCAGGCTGGCGTTTATCTCCGGTTTCAGTAGCATGAAACGATGAGAATATTTCTACTCCCCCCTGGATGGGATGCTAGTCCATCGCAGGTTACTCCCCAGCTAATGCCGATACCCATTTATACTCCTGGGTGGAGAGAGGCAAGTGGGATGAAGTGGCTTGCCCAAGGACACAATATATGGCCATTGGCTGGATTCGAACCCCAGACCCTCTGATCATGAGTCACAAACCCTAAGCACTAGGCCACACTCCCCCATATCATTATCAAAGTTAAAATGCCACTTACTTTACAGTCGCATGGTCCTTCGCAGGCATCTGGGTTGCGACTGCCTGCCAGGTTACATTGGCACGGCTGGCAGTATGGATAACCAAAGTAACCTCTTGCACATTGATCACATCGCTGACCGGCATAGCCTGGCTTGCAGAAGCAATCACCTGGGTTCTGATGAAACGAGAAGCACGCTTACCTTGAATCAATCAATTCAATTCAATTCAATTCAATTCAAGAAAAACATTTATTCCATACTCCTTTAGAGAATACATCCATCAATAAAAAAGAAATCTGGTAAATAACAAGATAACAAAATCAATAAATATGTCTCAAAAAAAAGAAAATTAATACCAGTAAGATATGAACTGAAGGAAATGAAATCATCAACAGCTGTAAAAGGAACACCATCATTTGCTCAATTCTACAAACATTGGTGATACAAAAAACATCTTGCAAAGGCTTGGCAAAAAAAATTGAAACAAAATTCTACTTTGGTCGACTTGAGTTGCTCTAAATACATTTTGGCACAAGCAAGATTTGGAATCGCAAGTCTGAAGATGGTATGACTTACCAAGCCCTCATACATTCGGCTTTCATCCTTGGCACAGACAAGCAGCCTATTGGTTGTATCGTCTCTACGAGTACCCACAACACTGCAATCACAAGCTGGTCAGAAAAATTATAAACAGAAAAAAATATTCAATAAACTTCACGTAAGATTGATCAGGGTTGTGAGTGGCCACTGTTAAAAAGAGCTGAAAACACCTGAAAAAGGTGTAAAAAAGCTGAAATTTGGAAATCTCCTATACTTTTTTGTACACAGCAAGTGAAGGAAAAAAGCTGAAATCCAAAACAAAAAAAAGCTGAAATCAGCTTTAAAGCTGAGATTTCACACCCCTGATTGATATCAAAACCCTATTTTGTTGACTGCAACTGCATTAAGCACTCTACTGAAAACAAATATTTATTTCAGCTCAGTAGTCTGTTTTTGTAATTGTAAGAACATTTGCCTTTATCATGACGTCTGTCAAAGTACACTAGAATGTTAATCTGTTTTGCCTAATGATAATAATGGCCAAGTTAAACGACAAAGTTTAGCACGCTATGTGCAAGCATGATAATTACCTAACCATGATAAAGTTGACAAAATGATAAAACCTGTGCCTTTTCTAGGCACTGTTTTGGCATTAAGTTTTGCTTGCTTAAGATTTGAAACATCTTTGATAAAAAAAATGAAGTTCCAACCAAGACTTACGGACACAGGGTTGTGGATCGTTAGTCTCTATTCCCAGCGGTCTGTACGTCCCATCAACGCACATCTCACAGTTGATCCCCGTGGTGCCATCACGGCAACCGACGCAGACTCCGCCCCCTTCATAGTTACCATGGATATCCAGGCTTTGATGGGCCATGTCGACTGCCTCGTCATAGTAACAGGTATCAGAGTGGCCGTGACAGTTACATGCTGAGAGGGGGATGACACAAGGCAATACAGAGTTCAAAAGGAGAGTTCAAAAGTTGAAGTAAAAACTCAAAATGCTCCTTATAAAAAACATCTTTCGGTCAGATGCAATTTCATGGAAACAAATCTTTCTAAATAAAACAAAATTAGGGCTACTGAGAATCTTCTGGTGTAGTAATTGAAAACCATGAAAACCAGATTAAGTTGAATCCATTCAAGTTATTAACAAATCGACCATCTATTTTCAAAATGTGGGAAAACTTTGGAAGAAGCGTCAGATTTTTATAGGGGCATAAATAGATTCTTAAATGATTGTCTTCCTTTTTATACAAATCAGGTCTGAATAATGGCTTTTGGCCTCTCTCTGATTTCAAAGTATAGCTTTTAACCCATTTGTCCCTGTATCGCCCCACAACGCCCACCACATTACTCCCTGTGCTGCCCCAAACTGTCCACGCACCCTTGGTTTTTATGGATTAAACAGGGAATAAAGACAATAATTATGAAATGCAATGTACTACAAAGTCAGTGCTAATGTGTTTAGGCGCTCAACTTGTAACAGCAGTATATAGGAACACTCCGAAGTGGTTTGTGTCGTTTTTCAATGAAATTACTTCACTCCAATCAAATTGAACGGCAGAGATGTTGGCTTACGTTCACACTCATTGCTCTGATCCCTACTGCCTGGCTTCCAAGTTTTCTGGACGAATCCCTGGCAGCATTCATTACAGCTTTCACCGCAGGTGTTATGCTCACAGACACACTTCAGCACCTGTTTGCAGAGATGATTAATCATCAAGCTAATTGATATCAAATTAAGTCAAACATTAATAAACATGCACAGACATTAGCCTATGCGATACTTAAGTTCAAGAACAAATTTCCGTATTTAAAAATTCAACTTCCAATAAAACAAAATTCTTGCAATTTAACAAGTGGTACTTCAGAAAAATTTTGAAGAGAAAGATGTTTGTAATTAAAAAGTCATAGCCGGCTAATTTTTGTGCCATATAGCGTTGTCACATATACCTTAATTTCATTCTCAACTCTAAATAATTCTGTTAATTTCATTTAAAATGACTTCTGTAATTGATCAAAGATCGCCATGGTTGTTTTCTTTTGGTTTAATCTTTACTTGAGCCATAAAAGTATATCGTCAAAACTCTATGAAATGAAAAAAAAAAAATATTTTACAAGAAAGTTGTACATACCGGTTGATCTGGTGCTACTTCTGGGTCTTGTATGCAAGAGCTGGCATGACCGAAGCATATACACTGCCCTCCTATAGAGATATCCTTGATGGAGTAGAAATACTGCCAACACAATCGCAAAATATAGATTGACTCAGTTATTCAAATACTACATTTCTCACAAAAATAAACTAATTTGCATATTGCATATTGATCAGGAATATGCAAGTTCACTTTTACAGGTAATGGGAGACTGAGGACTCCCTGAAAAAAAAAATTATAAAGAAATGATTTTTTTGGTAAAATAAAATTTTAATTATAATACCATCAAGAAAGAAAAACAAAAAGCCAAGCTCCCAACGAAAAACTGCCCTTTCTAATTATTACATCGCCTTCCAAATTCAAGTTATTTACACTATTTTCAAGGTTATCCCAAATAATAAATGTTGATGTTACAAGTCTCCCCTCTGTGTGTGGTCTTATCATACAGAACACTACATTTAAAGTACAAATTTTAAATAATTTACACAAGTAATATACACAAAACTGTTCTTCAAAGATTCTATAAGTGTTGCTTTGAGGTCAAAATAATGACCACTTTCATTCCTAATTTATAGATCCCCGGCCAAAACTTGTAACTCAAATTTCTAAACAAACCAAAAATTCCTTTGAAGTTGACCAAACACCCCTGACAATTTACAAGCCCTAATTTATGTTATCCAATACACTTCACCCAACAAATATAACAGTGGGCCTTTTAGAGGGCAAACAAGTAGTGTTCCCATACTGGTTACCAGTTGTGTATTTTTTTTTGTAAGGGCCGGCAGACATCTAGGCTACTTGCGAGTTAGCGCAGGGTTGAATGACCTGTCCGTAATTGTTAGGAAGTTGTCTTGGTGCTATTGCATCAATTGCAAACTCACCGGGGTGTTCCTAAGTGCCTTAAATACACCCATTCATATACCCAAACACTGCATAATTCGGGCAATCAGGCGAACAATTTCTCTTGGCACCAAAAAGTGCACCAGAACCTCACAGCGGTGGGATGAAAACATAAACAAACCATCCGAAGAAGCTGCCGAAACGTGTTCCGAAAATTGTATGAAAACAGTCGGTTGTAATGAGGAAAATTTACCAACACAGTCTCCATGGCAACAGGATGGGAACCTCAAGGTCAAAAGTTCAACTCTGGATTCGGAACACTGTTTACGTTTTGGCTAAAATTTAATTTTTAATGAGCGTTCAGGAAATGTCTGCCTATCAGAACCGCAGAGCTGAAATAATTTAGTTGACAGGAGAAGAATCTGAACAGTTTGGCTGAGTGGATGGATAATGAGCTATGGTCCTACCCGTCGGTGTACGTTCTCGTCAATGAAGCCGTTTTTCCCATAAGCCATCAGACCCCCATGGAGTGTACGGATCTTCTGAAATCGTAGCCTCACAAATCTTGCAGCCATGAATTTCTGAAGCGATAAAGGAAAACGGAAATCTTCATCAAATAGCCAAATAAAATCAGGTGGTATGTTACATGTAAACAGCATTGTAATCTAGTCAAGCACAATTCAAATCACAAGTCATTTACAAGTCAATCACAAGCCAAATACAAGCCAATCACAAGTCAATCACAAGTCAAATCACAAGTCAATCACAAGTCAATCACAAGCCAATTACAAGCCAAATACAAGCCAATCACAAGTCAAATCGCAAGTCAATCCTAAGTTAAGTCACTCACAAGTCTAGTCACTGGTTTTGGTCACATGCAACAGGGGATTAACAGTATCGCATGCTTAATGTCATTTTTCATTTGAATATCTTTTCACTTGAAAAAGCCCATTCTGGTTTGTAATTGACATGTGACAACTAATGATTGACTTTGTGATTACTTGTGATAATAGCTCTCAAATGAAAAGAATATGAAACCTTCTCTTTCTCAATCTGCCCAAATTTTCAGCCTATCTGAACCCACCCAGGGGTGTGAGTGACCACTGATAAAAATAGCTGAAAATAGCTGAAAACAGCTGAAAAAGGTGTAAAAAAGCTGAACTTGTGGAAATCTCCTATACTTTTGTACACAGCAAGTGAGGGAAAAAAGCTGAAATCCAAAACAAAAAAAGCTGAAATCAGCTATAAAGCTGAGATTTCACACCCCTGCCCACCCCATCTTCAATACTCAACTCCCCTTCCCCTCAAACTGTAACAAGAAATTTTATTTTACCAAAGCACAGCCCCAATTATACATACCATAAGCGTCTCACTCGGGTTTCGTCGACTCGGCCTGCCGTTCACAATTGAGGTATGAATCTCGCCATTACTGAGTGGCTCAAGCTGGGAATAATACGAGGTGCAGATGACTTCGTCATCTCTGATAAATCGATGCATCCCAATAGCTGGGGCAATGCCGTAAAGTCGTAAGCACTCCACGTCAGAGATGGCGTAATACTGCCATGGATTGAAGTTAATACCGTCTATTGAATGTTCTAGGATCCAGTTGCCAGGTCGGGGGGCATTAGCTGCTTTGACAATGATGTAGGCTATATTGAAGACCTGCAAGGCAAAGCAAAGGAACAGAATTTATCTTCCAAGAATTTGATACGCCACTTCCAATTGCTATGAGCTACTCATGTGTTTAAAGTCAATGGCACAAAAAACCACCCCCCCCCCAATTTTTTTTTTTTAATTTAGTATTATCTTCAATTGATAGGCACTTAAATAATTACCTGATTTAGTTCAAAGACTTGTCTGTGATGCAAGTGTTTAATAATTATGATAGATTTTTGGTATGCATTACAAAAATTTGATTATTCTGTAACCTGTCAATGTCAACATATTTTACATACTTCATTGTAACATGGTTCCTCAATTTAAACTATTCAATATTAATTTTTCCACACCAACATTATAACATGAAAAAGTATTTGGGGTGGAAATTGAAAAACAAAACCACAAGCTACCTTTATCTGAGGATAAGATTGGAATTGAAATCTTAAGTTGTGAAAAATCACAAGGAGAATCCCATGCAATGTAAAATCAGTCCATTTCCCAACTCTTGAGTTTGTTTACATGTGGATGAATTCCTCAGAGAAGAAAGAAAACACCCAGTGAATTACAAAGCTCCCCGGTCCATCATGGGAAACTACCCTCAAGTCACATGGGCAGAGATGGAGATGGAAAACTTCCATCGCCTGACACATGCCCCTCCCTGGTCTCCGGCCTGTCTCCACTGGCTGGTGAATTATGAAGGCAGTAAGTGATATGTTTTGACATCACATCTCATCATTGTACCAGGAGTGTCAATAAACTTCACCAGGGCGTTCAAGCACACCAGGCCCAGACCCCAAACCACAGGCCCCAGGCCACACAGGGGAGCGAGTTTGTTCAGAGGAAGTGATAGTTGGTATAATATATTGGTTGTAAATTCGACAGGGGCTGGAAATTAACTCTGCTGACCCTTTGCTACCACGCAATGTCTTATAAAGTATCATTTCTTGCAGATAAATTTCTTCAGGCAATGTTTTGGTAAATTTCCCTTTTTTTCCAGTAAAATGTTACCAGCCTGCAAAGGCATCAGTTCAAATGGGAAGTATTAGATTTCTGGCAGTGGAAAATTGTGTTGGAGGTTACAATCCAACAACTACAAAATAAAGGATAAGGAAATGTGTAAACTTTTAAACAAATTAATCTGCTAATTTTTCTGATTCTCTAAGTAAAATGGAAAGAGTCCATAAAATGTTTGAATTTGGAACTTCTTTTAACTTTTTGATTTGTAAAAGATCTTTTAATAATCAACTCTTTTTAAATCATGTTTCAGGTTCTTGCAAGAAATGTTACAGACCCTCCCCCTTCCCATTTGTTTTGCCCGGAACTGCAGAGATTTGATTTGATAATGTTACAATCTGGCCTCTTGAGACAGCCTCTTGAGACAAGTGGAACACAAAAATGGGTCAGAAGACTCCAGAAGTTGAAGTTGTCGGAGTGGCACATCTCCCAATTGTCCATTAGAGCATCTTGGGGAATCTTGACTCTCGGTATCTGAGGAGTCATTCAGGGAACTTGAACTCAAAATTTTACAAAGGATAATGGATTGATTGTCTCTGTCAGTGAACTGACATCCGTCATGTTTCTTAGTCATGCGCACCTGGAAATCTTGCCATGGGAAATGTTTCCATGTTTAGATCTGTCAGCGTGATCAATTCAGGTGGACAAATGAGAGCTCATTTGCGGACAAATGAGGGCCACAGGTTCAGCTGGCATGCCATCAAACTCAATAGGCAGTGATGCATTATACTGAAGGTTTCAAAATCGTACAAAAGTACAGTGTGTGTAGAACCCTCGGAGGAGGAAAGTTAAGACTAGTTTTCAACAACATTCCAAGGCCCATTTTGCAGCATTGTCAAACAGCAAATCTAGCATTACCAATTTAACTCACATCTCTTTAAAAACCTTTAACTTAAAAATTCACCTTACCTAACTTCCACCCCCAAAAATATATAGGCCTACATGTACTTACATAATAAATATAGCATTACTGGGGTAAAAGTTCCCTAAAATAGCTGCATTTTTAAACATTTTATGACATGTAATAATAAGCCGAAAACTATGTCTGACTTACCAGTGAAAACCTAATATTTACCTTGCTCTAAATCACATTATTTTGTTTAGTCTGTTTAATGACGTTTTTATCTGCTGACCTATAAAACAAATATATCATTCGATATTTTCTGAGGTCCTCAAAAATGTGACATTTGGATGAACTTTGCTGATAGTTTTTGGAGGGGAGTCTATTGGAACTGCTTGGGGTCGTTTATTGAGTGGTGTTGTAATAATGATTGACAAGCACACAGAGACACCTGTGGTATATAAGGGGTATGATCACGGGAATCTATTATCAATCTCACTGCTCGCCGTGCTAACTGGGTTGGTAAATTGCTTCTGACACGTTTTGATCTGCGGATGGTTTTGAAACCAGGATTCAATGCCTTGGGCGAAAACATTTATTAAAAACCGCATTTTTTTTGTTTAATGCTGAAAACCCTGGAAGACAAATCCTGGGGTAGTGAGGGGTCAGTGGAATTATTTTATAAAAAAAAAATTAAGTTCAAACTAATTAAATGATTTCTGACAATAGAACACCTGTATAAATACGGACAATTGGTGAAGTGGAAAACAGCGATGAAACCTGATACTACTGAAGTCGTGCTGCTGGATTTAGGACAAGCACAAGCTGGGATGTAAGGTGAATGAGCCATACACGGCTTTGAGTAAAACCATTAAGGAATTTCAGTCCCTTTTTTTCAGAAGGCAAGTCCCAAATGTGCAGTCTTAAATACGTTCATTGAAAAAAAAAAATTCCGACAATTTCTCTCAAACTTAAGCCGCACCACACTTGTACTACAGGTGTGCGAGTTGACACCCCAAGGGGCAAGGGTAGGGGCATTATTGTCCACGTTGGACAGTTGGCAAAACATGTCGGTTAATTTTCAGGTTTACACAAATGTGCTCGAGAATTTGGTCAGGAATTTCAGGGATCGGGTGAGAGCTACATGTATATGTGCAGGCTGGTTTTAACCAGACAGAGGCAGATCTGAAAATACTTTTGCTGAGAAAAGAAAAAGAAAATTCTGCCACCAAAAACCTATATGCAAGACGTAATTTATATAACAAAGGTAGCGAAGATAATTTAAACTGGAGCAATTCTGTGTAACCATCTATACCCAAAAGCATATGAAATTCCATTCAGATTACACTTGAAAACTGATACCCAACTCTGAACCTACAGCACAATATCCAATTGAAAAAAAATCTGAAAATCTGCTTAACTTCTTATTGCAGCTAAGCTTGAGTCTCATTATATACAATGTCTGGGCACTGCCGGCGAATCAGCGATTAGAAACACGATACATTTAAACCATTTGCCTGGGCCATGTTGCCTGATGAATGGGTAAATCTTGGTGAGCAATTTCGATGTACATCCATCCACACTGATACTTTTTTGGTACAGTCTGTTCCTACCAGTTTTTGCTGGACCAGAAGGACCAGGTCAGGCCAGCTTGCAATCGTCTAACTAAGTCACTGACTGACTGACTGATAGGGTCCTTACTGATATTCCAAAATATTGACACTGTCGGGTCCAGCTCTACTTAGCCAAGCTTAATCTTGTTTATTTATTTATCGAAAAAAACTATTCAACTAATACATTGTGATGGGGTATAACAGCAGCCATACCTTGTTTTTTTTTGTCGAGATAAGAATAAACTCATTCATATCCCATTCCAATTCTGAACGGAGCTGAACTTTTACCCTTTGTTGGCACCAAGGTACAGCTGTCCAGTGAAAGGAAAATCCCCAAGCACAAGCAACTAAACCTTCAGGGGGACTCCAATGAATATGATCCATAAATAACCCCAGGTTAAAGCTGGAAAAATGCTTCCGAATTCTCCGGGCATTATGGAAAAAATTGGCTCTACGACTCATGGGACTACTAGTGAAGAAAATTGCAGGAAGCAATGTGATCAGAAAGATCATATTTTATGTACACTGCTGACAAGTGTACATAACATTAAAAGTAATTTTCGGTTGAACTAAGAAATTTAGTGAATTCTGAATATTAGTGATTGGGGCTTCTAAAAATGGTGACAGAAAGTTTTGCAAGTGTTCAAATCTCAAAATGAAACAATGTGCATCATTTTTCACATACAGTGAGATGGCTAAAATAAACAGCTAAAAGTAATTGGTCAAAGGTACTGTAATAAGTTGTTAACAAAAATTCATACATTCTTGTTCTGTAGTTGTGGGGACATACCGGTACACTCGTCTGTACGAGGAATTTGTGGGGACAGAAAATGCTGTGGGGACAGCAAAAAAAACCCATAACTTTGTCCAAATTTTTTGCCTTACAATAAAAACCCTCCCGTAGGCCTACCCAGTAGGCAACAGCAGGCGAAGATAAAGGACTGACCCGAGAAATATAAGATGGTTGGTCACATTAAGCTTGCTCTTGTAAGAGGTAACAATACCTGGTTATAATCCAAATCTCTGGAAGAAATATGATCCCTTAAATTTTTTACACATTTCAAACAAAGCTATTCCAGGGACAATGCTCCAAGAAACATCATTATTGCGACAAAGAACCTGATTACTTGGAGAATTTTTCATTTGGAAGCAAACAATAAATCCAATTTACTTAATGGCCCTGAATCAACCCTAAGTTACAATATGACCTTCCCACAATTTATTTACAATTCATACAAAGAAATAAAAGAACTTTGTAATTTGAATTTTGATGGGCATGATATAAACACCACCAGCAGTGGCTCCATGTTGTCTGAGGTCGGACTCAAATGTTTCTTTTTATATCAGACAAAAAGTGCAACTTCTTCAGCCACAAGTGACTGAAAACAAGATTGCGTTTCCTGAAATTAGACAAGTCTGTGAAAAATGTTTGCCACCACAATTTTATAGAAGATTAAGAAATCAAGTGATTGTACAAAGAAAAACATTTGTAAGGATCATTTTTTTGAAACCAGGCTTACATGTATGTTCTTTACAGAAACAAGAGTATGTGGTTCACAAGATAGAGGAATTGGCTGTATAATAGTTGTTAAACATGCTTTAAACACCCAAATTATCCCCCTAAAAGGGTACCAAATAATATTTTCTAAGACTTAGTTAAACAGTATTTGATATTTTTAAAGCACAAATTTCCAAGGACGGATACTTTAAACGCCTCATTTCAGCCTACAAATGAAGGAATCCTAATCACGGAGGAATCACACATCAGAAGGTGCCATGGGTGATTGGCCTCAGCTAACTGGGTCACTAGACCCTTAGGGTGCACCCTTCCGATCCATATTAAGGCAATCCCTGAATAGAAACAGCCCAGTCAAATCAGTCAAAGAAGACTGGAGCCCTAAACATGAACCCTGCCAATGACTAAAGTGCACACATGTGGGAAACAGGAGGGCCTGTTAAGACTGGATGGCGTCTAGATATTAATTGTACAAGACGTTTTTGTTAATGATGTTCTTTAAACATAACTTTATGCGGAATCAGATTAGAACCAACCTAGGGTTTCAACTAATCTGCAGGTTTTAATTGGAAATAATGCAAAATGCAACAGCTCTGACACTGTGAAGATAACACATAAAATACTAGAATTTAGGTTCTATTTTGACATACATGTAGAGGCAAAGTTGCATTCTTTACAAATATTAATCCTATGTTGCGAATTCACCTCTGCAAAATATTTCTTTGACATTTCACAGAGTTTTCAGTGTCATTTTGCCATCACTGATGGAATAACCAAAGTCAAAATTCAGCATACATCAGGAAAAGAAAATAAATCAACCCAGACTTTGTAGACCGCCGTCAAAACCTTTTTACGACATGAGCGAGAGCTCCAAGCGATGTTAAAGAACAAATTAAAAAATGTGTTTATATCGGAGAATTCAAGCAAATTCCAGACGCTGTTTTATCATCTTGGAATGCTAGCGATGGCAGGCACAGATGTGTGGCATATATTTCAAGTATTCTGCACTTGACTGATAGCTTATTTGGCAGGGGGAAAATGCTTGCCGTTTTTGAACAAATACGGTTACTGGGAGTGGGCAAGGTTTGATTAAGAATTTCACAGATTAGATGCATGAAAATTGTTTCTTGATGCCTTTTTCTTTTTTTACAATCGGTTGAAAATTATACATTTGACAGGTGTTGGTCAGGTCGTTCTACATGTAGATCCCGTCAAAATTACTTAAAAAGGCAACATTACTGCAGTCATGCACAAGCTTTTTTTTTTTAACAGAAATTTCAAGTTCAGGAATTTCTGTTGAAACTGAACACACACAAGCCCCGACAAAGAAAAATAAACCAACACGGTTGTGTAAATGTGGGGTGGAAAGGAGAAACACAAGGCCAGAAAAAAAGGAAGATTATGAACACACATACAGATGGATGCTGTTCCTTAACCAAAAGCGATGGGTAAAGTTTTCGGCCGCAAATCAATCTGGGGGATAAATCATCTGCTGTTTTACCTAAACACACTACAAAGCCGATGACAGCCAGAATAAACCATGTCGACCCTCTGAGGGAATTTTATTTGCCCTATATATGGACTATTGAATAAATAATTCTAGGCTTTGGCAGCCGCGGGTCAGTCCTGGGTTAATACGAGCATTTCCAATCAGAGAACAAGCTGTAAACCTGCATGCCAAAACGGCTGCTCTGTGTCCTGGCTCTGTGGGAAGTGTGAACTTTGTGTGGACTTGCCCATGTCCACACAAGGTTTCCCCTCTCTAGAAAACAGGTTTAGGGGGAATTTTGGGTTACAGTTATTTGTCACAAAATGAAAAGCAACACTCAAGGAAATCATGATAAAAAATTTGGGTTGAAAGAGCGTTCACAGTGCGAATAAAATGAGTTTTTTTCTCTGATTTTTCTTAACTAGGCTCTATGTGAAAACAAAGTGAAGGTAAACATGTGTGAGTTCTAGTGGGCGAGACGTCACCACGTTAATGGGGAAGTTTTTTATTATTAGGCAAATTAGGACTGAGTTTTTGCTGTCCCCATAATATCTTTGGTCCCCATAGTACCATAGGACAACTCGTGTGTAGTCCCCATAGTTTCGGCACAAGTATGTGTGTGTATGGGATGTGTAGTAATGCTTTAGTTTCCATGAATTGTTAACAACTACACATTGTTTGGAACAGTCTTAAATTTTTTATGATTTGCGTGGATCTTAAGTATGCAGCATGCTTTGGAAAGGAAACAATTTGTAACTTGGCAAGCCTCATGCAAGCTTGCTTTCTATTCTAAGCTTTGCCAACTCTACTGGCCTCTGTTATATTTTTCATTGCTATAATTTCATTTTGCCGTAAAGACGAAATATAAGTTGTGAAATTAATGAATGAAAAAAATGTAGTATGAGAGTAGTTTTATTGGTTTTTGGAATTCGTTTCATTGCTTTCGTGCAGCCGACATGTGAGGGATGAATAGCGAGTCACAAAAGGCATATGCATTTGCCTCGACCAAATTATGAGATGTTATGGCGCTGCTGTTCATCAGACAAAAGGGAGATAAGCCAACTCCTGTTGCCAAATCTTACTCCAGCCCAGCACCTGTAAGTCATTTTAACCCTTTAATTCACCTGTTGTAGATCCAGCGTTATCGTAACCCAGTGATAATGCTTCCCATTGGCTAAGGTAGGGCTCTGCCACCAGGAGTTAGTCCCATCGATGGCGTTGTAGATCCAATGCCTCTGTGTGGGATCCTGGCTGTACACGTCGCAGAGCTGGCACTGGGCGTGGTCTGGCTCCATCTGCATCTCACCCATGGGGACGTGCTCCACCAGTCGGCAGTACATCTCGGGTTGTCTCTCGCCGCAGGTTGCATTGGTGGTGATGCGGGCCCTGGTGGCAAGGTTGAAGATGTGTGGGAAGAGACCTGAGGAAGAAAGGAAAAAGTCCTTATTATCAATATTGTGCACCTTGATGGGATTCGAACCCATGCCCACGTGACGCAGAAATACAGTACAACCATTATCTCTGGTTGTCTCTCCCTTCAGGTTGCAGTCCCTCCATTAGCAGTTGCACCATTCAGTGGGATTCGAACCCATGCTCTTCTAATGCAGAAATCTTACCATTATTTTTGGTTCGCTCTAATTAGCATTGGTGGTGGTGCTGAGGTGGTGAGTCCTGGTGGCAAGGTTGAAGATGTACGGGAAGAGACTTCCTTTAAGTTTGTACATTCTAGTAATATTAAAATCCATGTTCTTGAAATCAATGCAGAAACTATGATCATTGAAATTGTGTGCACTTTACACTGTATATATGTGACATTCACAAAAACATATATTTCATAAATTCATAAAAACGCCAATTTTTATAAATCACTGACCCAAAGAAGGCAAACAACATTTCATGAACAATATTATCTGTTTCACAGATCTGAGAGTCCCATAATAATACACGTCTCTCAAAACAGATTAATAAATTTGGGGGGGGGGGGTATAGCTTGAGCAAACAGATCTCCTAATCCACTCCAGGCTCAAACACAGAACCCATTCATAATTCTCAGCCATAAGAAACCAAACTCTAATCCCTCAGTCAAAGAGTTTCCTTTCAATCAGGTAAACAAATGGACTTGACTCAGACTTTCGGACTCTCTCAGCCCACCATTACTTCTTCCCAGAGGAGATGACTTCAATAGATTAATGGACTAACAACCCCAACTTGACAACTTCCTAGTACAGAAGAGCTCACTTTTGATGCATCATTAAATTTTACAACAGGTTGATAGTCATTCCAACAAGGTTTCATTTAAACCACTGAAACCTTTTAAAAAGAGGATTTAATCCATTGAGAGGTGCTTTTTATGTCCAATTGGGACTGTAGTCATCTATTTGATTCTGTGAGTTTTTTTATGGATTTGTTTTGCAGGGTGGTCCTTGGGACGATGTGAGACAGCAGGTTTCACTTTTTTTTATCAGTGCAGATAGCTTTTAGAAAACAAGTTGAGAATAGACCTATCAACTTTTTTTGGGGGGGGGGCAAAATTTAATAACTGAACACTTTCTTTTCTTGTTACAATGTCTGGAACAAAATGTTTTTAATTTTATCTCTGTTTCTTGTTTTTGTCTATAAAAATGTTCTGAAAAGTTTGTTCTCTGACAGGAAGAAAAACATGAGACAGTGTTCAGTGAGCAAAGCCTTGTGCTGAGGAAAGTCTTGTGAGTTATCTTCAAGTCTCTTAAGGGAGGCTTGCCAAGAAATATTTGATCGATTCCTGCTATGTCATCATCATTTTCAGTTTCAATGAAAACAAATTCCACGTTTCCCAAAACACATAATAATTGATGACATGTGCGGACCTCTACCTACTTCAGGTATCAGGACTAACAGTAAATTGTCATGAATACTTTCACGTATAGCCTAAGGGATGTTACAAAATACCAGACAGTTTTGCTGTGTGGGCAGAATGACTTTGCATGGAATAATCCATAATCCTAAATTTATTAATACGTGTGTGAATGCCAGAGAATGTAGCCTATAAGTAATAAGTTATTGATATGTACTACAGCAGTTTTATTTTAATTTATATCAGGATTAATTTTTTTTTAATCCAAATGGTCTGGATAACTAACGACTGAGCTTTATTGTCTGAACATAGCTTTGTGATCTAGCTCCAAAATCTGAAGAAATCCAGCACATACATTCTCTCCTTTGCTTGAGGGCAGTACTTCTCTAGTTTGACTCAAATACTGGTAGGCTGAGCTAATTTCACAGCACTTGAACAAGAAATGATCTGGAGTCAAGCATTCAGTTCCCCTGGGGGCTCATTACAGAATATGCCCTCAGCGACACCTTGCACATTTTTGTTTATAAACTTGGACAATGTTGGTCAGTTCTGAGCAAATCAGGGTGCAATAATTGCAACAGTGAAAATATGAGATGAGTGAAATTACACAGATGATTAAAGTGTGTTTTCAGCACTTTTTTGGTGGGGGAGGGTGGGTGGAAAGGGTTGGTCAGGTGGGGTTTCAGGGAGGCTAAAAAGGGAGAACCTTTAGAATATTTTACCCCTAAATACATACATGTACAAGTTGAAAAATAGATAACTTTGAATTGTTTTGCATTCTTTTTTAAATCCCTTTCTTGAAAAAATCAACACAGAATATCTGACACTTCACAACATATTTATATCACTGGGGAAGTCCTTAGCACTAAAAGTGGTAACTTTTTTCTGGGGGGGGGGGGGGGCTGAGGCTGGAGGTTGGATTTGTTCATCGGAGGATTTGGACCAAAAATAAGTGGGATTGTCTTCTGAAGCCAAGCTGTTATCACCTCATTGAAAGCTCCATCACAGGACACCGAGGTTGGATAAATGTTTGCATTTCCTGGGAATTATTTCCTGTTCTTTCTGAGACTTTAAGACAGCGAAAGTGTCCTAACCACCTAGGGATATTGACTTTACCCCCAAACAAAATCAGGGAAAAAGACTTGTGAGAGGTTGGAGTTTTCTTTGTAAATTCTTCCTTGATTTCACTGAATCAATTGTAAATCTCGGTCAGCGAATAATTGCCCTGGGCTGTGAGTCACTTTCGGAGCCTAGAACTCCAGGAAAAGATGGATTAAGTGTTGCATATATGATTAGTGATGCAAAATGAATACAACTGATTGTTTTAATCATAAATCAATTGGTACAATTAACAAGGACCAAACTAAATCCACCCAAAGCAAACATAACAAAGTAGTAGCCCATCATTATCTGCAGTTAATGAGATAGGCCTATAGTTTCTCAAAATGCATAGTACCTAGTAAAGTTTTGGTGGGGGGGGGGGGGGTTGGTGGTTGGACAGGGGTGGGTGGGTATCATATCAAACTTTGGCAGCATTATGGAGCCAGTTCAAACCGCAACCCTTGTCCCAACCTGCCTTCCGGCCCATATCCAAAACCACAAATAGTTTGATGTTTGTGTCCTGTTCACGAATCAACTTGAACACAGAGGAGGTTACAACCCCTGTCGTTTGGTTTATTTCCCGTACTTCAACACGTGAAGATCATCAACCCAAGAGCAAACCCTGTGCTCATATTCCCAAACCTTTTAACCCATGCTACATGTGTAACTGTAAATGGGCCAAGGCATGGTCTATGGTCTTGTCTGGGCCTGGGGATGTGTGGTTAACCACATTTGGCGCAGTTTGTTCAGACACATTTAACATTAACGTATTTCTTCACAATCATACATAAATACTGTTGATCTATGATTGATGGGATTGGAACATATGAGAGGCAGGTTCATCAACTAAACACTGTAATTTTGTTCTCCCTCTGTGGCCCAAGGAATATGTATTCAATCAATCTATAAAAAAAACCAGCTTCTTGACATACTTTTCCTTCAAATCCTTTCTTTTTTTCTAGACCTTTTAGAAGATAATGCTTTAGATTACTTACAAGTACATTTCTACTCAAAATTGCGGTGCAATTCCTGGTACTGTTTTTGAATCTGGTTGCCTGCAAGTTATCTGTGACTTATTTTGTCTGAAACATGATTCATTCTTTACTCATATGAACAATTGAAGATTCTACAATATGAGTAAATTCATGGAGTCAGTCAAACTGATTGATCTGTTTTATTGTCTTTTCCTGAAGATTTTTTTTCATGAAATTTGTTTCCTGAAGAGATAAAATGGTGCACTTAACCATGCAGGGATGTAGTCGAGTCCATCACAACCTGCAAGTCCATCACAAGTCCCAATTTAAATCACAAGCTTTTGAAATGAGCTTTGACAAAGGCATTCCTTTGTTATTGTTCATCCACTGTTTCTTGTGATTGGACTTGTGACTGGAATCGTGATTACTTGTGATGGACTTGTGATGGACTCGACTACAGGTACATCCCTGAATTTACCACACCAAAGTCCACCATGGAATATTCAAGACCAACCATCAGACCCAAGTCTTTTAAATCTTACAATAGCAACTCAAAAGTGTTAAAGAATACCAGCTTGCTCCGGTCCTAGTTTTGATGATGATATTCTCCCTGTTGGAAGGCCTCGAGAACAGTAACCACATTTGACACTTGGAGATCAGCCAGCAGGGAATTCCTTTCATTAATAGCATTATGATTCAGTTACAGGGATTTCTATTACTGAGGAAAACCATCACTTCCAATGAGGAATGGATTGTCGATTTGGATTGCATGATATCCAGATAGTGAGTCTACCACATGTTCTTATGATAAAACAGATTGACAGAGATTTATCTGCATAGTTTGTGAAGACATAATAAACCATAATGGCTGTCTATATAAATTTGTACCATCGGATTTAATGTTTGGGAAACAGAAAAAAAATCCATAAATGCCTGGGAAGAAATGTTATTACCATTTCATGAAAACATGTATACTAACAAGAAGTTGCGGCAACAAGGCAATGAGCTACATTACTTTTTTAACAGTATTCTAACATAACAAGCTCGATCGGATCTCGGAAGCTGCAGGCCAACCAATTCGTGTTCATGACATGAGTCACGTGATTGTGCATGTAATCTCTGGAAGGAGTAGTATTTTGAGTAAAAGAAAATCAGGTTTTTGACCCCAGTGACCCCATGATGACCTTTGATCCAGTTTGGTCATGTGACATGTTGGGGCTGGGCTACTGTTACTTTTGACAAATTTTGGTTTTAATCGGTCAAATTTTGTAGTTAGCAATAGACAATGTTAGCGTTTGTTACTAACTAATGGACTAATGGAGAAACAGACGATTTATTGAGCTGCTATCCCGCAGCTAATAAGCACAGTTTAGGCCTACCTGAAAATCAGGTTTAAATATTTCCATTATTGTACATTCCAACTGTACCGTAATCAAATACTACAACTATTCCCGTGCTCTATACTCTCTTTGTGTGGGTTTGCAAGTGGTTCCTGAACTTTTCAATTGAACTTCTGTCACACCTGTTTGTGCTAAATTTAGAACATATATGTGTGCGCCCCGTCAATGAGTGAATT